TTAGTAATTTTCATTAAATAATTCATGAAAACTTTCATTTGTGTATGGAATTGTCTAAAACATTCTTTAGAACAAACACACAATAATAACAACAAAACAGATAGGAAACCATCTGGTTTTGAAATATAATAAAGCGAAATTATTTATTTTTTTTCAATAAAAATCTGTTTGAAAAAAAAAAAGAAAGAAAATGACATGAAAAGCTGAAATGTACATCATCACATTACTAATTTCGGAGACAAGAAAAAATAATAATAAAAAAATAAAAAATATAATGGAAAAAAACAAAATTTGTTTGATAACTCTCGAGATCGTTGGGCGGAGTGTGTGTGTGTTAGTTAGTGTGTGTGTGTCCATGAGTATCGCCTCATGCTCCTCTTAATTCACATAAATGATCTGATTTAGTATTGTTTTCATTATGTACAGCTTGTAACGACATAACATCTAATTGTGCTTTTATAAACTATCGTCGTCATCAACAACAACAAACGGTCGACGCACTTTCTGATCGTAGCTGCGATGATGACCATTGGACGAACGCCAACTATAATGATAATGTATGATAAGAGAGTTGAAGTGAATGAGCTGTACCTTCCTGATTCCAAATAATCTCGTCTACTGTTACAACAGCTATCCTGTCCTTTGTTACTTGTTATTAAAAGATATGATGATAATATTGAAAAAACGAGTGCCGTGGCGAAGATGCAAGAAGAAAACATGTGCACATAGCTGGCAAACCCAAGACGATGCTGCAAACACAAAAAATAACAATATTTGAATATTAATTCTTTTGGTCTTTCTTTTTTTAAAGCAAATAGTTTGTTTTATTTAATTCGCATCAAGCTTACATATATACACACGCATAGAGAGAGAAAGGGAGACGTTTACATATATATTCTTTGTCTGGCCGTTTACATTATTTTTCTCTTAAATTTAAATAAAATATTTATTTCTTCAAGCACAGCCCCAAAACACAACCGCTCGTTACTAGAGAAAGCTCTAAATGGATGAAACAAACAATTGTGTTTGATCTACACGTGTCTATGCTAATTAGATCACGTGATATTCACATATTCTAATCTCTTGCTCCAGCCGCCCTACACACCCAACCCCTTCTTCCGTGTTCCCGAAAAATAAATATCCTCTACACTTGAAAAGCTCTTTCATTCGTGTTTTTTTGTTTTCTTTACTTCAATATGTGTATATTCTTTCGAATTTGTTTTCATTTTCACCTTGAATGGTCCGATCCCACCCTGATCTAGAGCTTTCTCCTCAATCGACATGTCATCTTTAGTTGCGGCAAAAGCAAAAATTATATCTGCTAGTACAGAGCATGAACCTGCAAAAATAAATTAATTTTTTGTGAAAATAAAACAAAAGGTTATATAATTCTTTTCCGGCTATTTGTTTTCTATTCTATTTAACATTCAAACTTACAAGTCATGAATATGGCAACGACATAAAGTAGAGAGTTAGGTGGAAAGCAAGGTGAACAAGCTCCAATTATTATTCCAATAATCCCAAAAAGGAAAGTGAAAACGGAAAAAAATATGACAGCTTTATGTTGAGCTGAAATAGATTCCTTTAACAAAATAAATTTATTTGATAGAGAAACGTACGAAGAAATCTATGTAATAAGAGTTCACGCGAAGCAATGTCTCCTCTCTCCAACGCTGTTCTCAGAATATTCTGAGATGATGGGTCGAACTTGCTGATACATTTATCTCCTTAAAAGGACAATTTCGTTTTTCTTTTCAATTAAAAGAGTTATGATGTGTAAAGAGCAAAGATAGATGGCTTTAAATGAGAAAGTTTGTTAAAAAAGGTCATATGTGAGGGGGATGACGGACAGTCTTTGTGAGACTAAATTGAGTTTAAGGAAGACTTCAGAAGAAAGCCTCTAATTAATCTTTAAGCTTAGAAAGACTTGACTTACCATCATTATCTGTTTCTATGTCTCGGAGTGGAATAATCTTTTCGTTCGATTCATATGAAACAATACAATCCCACCATAGGCCATGATGATGACTGACATACAAGGATGGAATTTCTGCTACCTTAACAACTTGTGAATAGTAAGAGGGAGGAGATGAATAGATAGGTTACCTGCCATAAAGGAGAAAATATACTAAAAGCTGTAAGTAATATTCCCGCAACAATCAGACAGATAGATATAACAAGAACTATTTTGTACATGGCAAACGACATCTGAAATTTTAAGAAATTATTGAGCGAAAGGCTTTAAATGGAGAAAATGCTTTCGAATACGCATTGTCTGTTGGGTGAATGATGAAGATTCGAAATCTAATTATCAAAGTAAGTCTCGGAATTTCAGAAGATAAAAGTGAGGAAGTGGAAGACGATAGAAGCAGACGAAGAAAAAGAAAAATGAGCTTTAAAAGTAAAAGCAAATAATAGCTGAATATGGGCAAAAGGAAACATAAACAACGATGATTTCTTGCTCCTTCCTTCACAGAGAGCACATACAAATGAGAAAGAAGGCTGAACAATTCACTTGAGAAATTATGAATTTCCATAAGAGCATTGGGAAGAAGGTTGTTTCCTGAGCAATAAAAAACGAAATGAAGTCGCAGCATGGATTCAAATGAAACTTTCAAATTCGTCAGTTTTTTTGTTAAAGATTGACGTCGGAAACCAACGACTACGAAGGAAAGGAGTGGCCGATGATGTTGAGAGTCCGTGCAAAGTTCATTAGGGGAGGAAAGAAGAACGTCTTCACACGCATTTGCTCCGTAAAAACGGAAGCCGAAACAGAAAATTCTCTTTCAATCCAATGATAATTCGAACGCAAAAAATGAGATTCAGGCTGTTTCTTTTTGTCAAATAAAGGAAGAGCGGAAACATTTTTGTTAAAACAAAACGAAACAAAAAAAGAATGTAAGAACAATGGATGTAATCATCTAGCTTGATGCTTAAAAAAGCTTTAAATTACAAAAAAAAGAATAAATTCGTAACGTCAACATGGATGAAAACACATCAGAAAGGATTCAGTATGTAGACGCCAAGACATTACTCGTTGTTTTTTGGTTTTTGTTAAGCAATATAGGAATAATTGAATGACGGAAAAGTTAGGAGAGAAAGATAGAGTCTGGTGGGAACAAGGTGGCGAAGAGCTGTTGGGGTGTTTGTCCGATAGCGTCAAAGCTATATATATCTCCATATATATATATATATATATGAGATATGTTTCTTAGCAATGAGTCGAATAATCTTCAAAGGAAGTGAAGGAAAACAAAAAAACATTAAAAATCCAGTAGCAACTGAAGCGGCAAAAGGTAAGCTCATCTCAGAGGAGGAAGTCATGGATACCTCTGGGACGATGTGGCTTTGCCTTGTTGGGATGGACGAAAGCAAAACAAAGACAAAACAGGACAAAGAAAGAATATTGACTGAGAAAAAATGAATAATGAAGAAGGAAAGGTTGAAATCATGCTCATCCAGAATCCTCAAACGGCCGGGTGCAGACGAAAAGAACAAAAAACGAAACACTTCCAATTTCTTAGAGAAAAGCAAAAAGTTTTTGGAAAATATCCGTCGCTTACATTATCCGCAAAAGGAATAAGTCAATTAAATATGTATGTATGAACTGCGAACAAATTTGTCAATCAAAAAGATAAATTCGAAAGAAACTATTGACATCTCCCTTCGAAGCGCACATATTAAAGTTTGAAATTGGGCATTATATCCAATAACCTTTGACAAAACAACAAACTAATAGGATAAAAACATGACAATCTTCGAAAATCATCGAAAAAAGCAATATTCCGGGTGGTGGAGGATGTCAGATGCTCAGTTTGAAGCGCACTTCTAATTGAACGTCTAATGTTCGTGAATCAGATGACTAAAATTGGATTTGATGCAAATACATGATTGACATCTCACTCCTGCAAAAAAAAAGGAAAAAAGAACTTCACGAAACGATCGTAAGAACTGCAATTCGACTGAATAGAAGAAAGGTCAGATGTAGTAGAACAAAAAAAATCAAATGATTGGGCTTTTGTGAAGTTGCACAAGCCCTGAGGGATGCTGTTGAAAGCAGCTCAAATGACATAAATTATAGAATAGTAAGGCAGCTGCCAACAAGTGGCTAAATATGGACTTCTTGACTTCATCCCGGACTGCATACAAATCGGTAATATTAGAAGAAGAATATAGGAAGAGAATAAGGAGAGAGTGAAGCAATAAGACATTCCAATACAAACGTTCTTTTTCTGGTTTGAGGATGAGATTTGGTCGTCTTTGTCCCAGCATAAAAAGACAAAAGAACTTGAGCGTTTTGACTATTTTCACTTGAGGCTCCCAAAAAAAAAACAAAAATAAGTGACAAAGATGCTCCAGCAAAGCAAAAGTGAAGAATTGGAGAACAGGCTCTTTCCTTCGTGTCTGTCTTAGACTTGAGTTTGTTCAAAACATTCTTATAGAAAGCTTTCATAACTTTAATTAAATACGAAGGCATGGGGATAATCTCAATGTTTTCAATTTGTATTCTCAGTCTTTAAAGTAAAAAAGATAAATATTTAAATTTGAGCAAAAAAAGGAAGGACTATAGCAGCTGTTTGGTGAAGACTTTTGAACAGAGTGTAATATGAGCGCGCTATTGTGTTATTAAATGAATCTGTCCGGCCAACTTGTAGCTGCAAATTAAACTTTAAAGGATATCCCACAGATTTCCCATACATCGTTCAGTTTCTGAAAATGATGTTGAGAAAATGAAAATTCTCGTAAGCGAAATCGTATCGTTTCCTGTTGTTCAGCTCTCATTTTTATTAAAACTTTTATAAACAATTTCATAAATCCGCGCAAAAACTCAAAAAACATGAAAATACAACGCATTCTATGATGAACATGTAGATTACTAGAGAAAGAAAGAAAACAAGAGATAGAAAACGAAGCCGATAGGTACTATTTCAATATTCATGAAATTCAAAGTCTCAATGGCAATCATTCATATGGTGGTGAGCAGCATGAATTCTAGAGCCTTAAAATACCGATTTCCTCTCGATTTTCTCCATATAAGCTTTATGAATTCGATGTGCCGATTCCGAATTGAATAGTAAATGTCTTTCAGTATCATCAAACTTCAACATATCGCCCACAGATGTATTGGCGATTGGAAACAAAGAGTACAACATTTCTGGAAAAGTTCTCTTAGAGGGGAAAAATCATAAACAGCACCTCTCATTATATCTTTGTTCTTCTCATTACTATGGGATACCAAATTATTGAGTAAGAACCTTTGAAGCTGTAAAGGAGAGCAAATGAATCTTTTCCAAAAAAACTATAATTACCACAAGCGCCAACTTTGTGGTAGTGAGAGGTAGTACACCTTCTTCCCAATAATACCTCCATCTGCTATAAATTATCTTCTTGATATCCTTAAAGCAATAGGTAACAATTTTTATTTTCAATCAAACGTACTTCTCTTCCTGTCCAGAAAAGTGGCAACTGGGTTGATATGGAGCAAACAAGTACCAGGAAGAAGTCGAAAGCTTCGTCCTTCAAAAGTATATGTATGAAATACAAACTTCCATGAAAACCTTATAATTTCCACAACTGTTTTCATAACTCTGATAACCAGCCAGAACGATGAAGGATTGTATATTGTCTTTCACATCCATGGCATGCACTTTGAAACCCAATATACGAAGACATATGGAACTGAAATTTCCGAATTCAAACGCTCAACTAATGTCTTACAGGGTTTTGATTGATCACACATAAATAATGTAAGTGATGATTAAGAGCTAATTAGCATACGCATTCACGTTTCTAGCGTTTTCATTTTCATCGCTGTACACGTTAGACACGGTTGCTTCTGTTGTTCTATCACTTACTTGTACTGCGTTGCTTCATATATTTGGAATAAGTGAGGGAATTTCAACTCGTGGCCACCACATAAAACGTAGAAGTCAAAAAATCTGAAAACAGTTGAATTTTTATGTTAATCACAAGATTGTTACTGACAAACTAATTTCCCCTTCAAACTGTCCTTCCATCTGTAGCTGCATTACTACACTATCTAAAACCGATTCACTGTCGAACGGTTCAAGATTAGGAAGTCTGTTTTTGATATAATCATGAACAATCTAAATCAATCTTTCAATTATTTCAGACATGGGTAGATGATAAACCGAATTTTCTCTACATCCCGTAATAACTGATAGTATATCATCTGATTGAGCGTGCTGTGAGGTAACTAATTCAAGTAGTTTATCCAAAAGGGTAGGTATGAGTTCGGCATTTAAACAAGACAAAACAAAGGGAAGGTCTCTCATAAAAACGAGAATTGTACTAGGACGGATGATTTTATCCCTCAATATCCGATCAGAGAGTTTATAAACCACCTGAAGAAAACGAATAAATGAACATACGAATGCCACGACTCAACCATCTTGCATTTCTCTTGAATACATAAATCCAGAGCAGCGTCTCCCACGTTTCTCTCATACATAATCTGAAGCATTGTTTTTACTTTGTTTGATTGCTTAACAAGGAACCTCCTCTAACAGCGGAGCCCAATTGAGCGGAGGTAGAGTTCGTTGATCGCTGCGACGTATGGAAGACAAAATATGGATGAAACTAACAAAAGAAAAGCTGGGAAATCTTCGAATCCTGAACTTTTGTGGATAAGTTATTAAAAGTTTGATAAATTTACATAAACTCAGATATGACATCTTTCAGAATACTCTTTTCCGATAAATGATCATAGTTCATGGGTAGAGATTCAGAACTCTGAAGCCAAGTGATGCGACAATAATCTGCCAAAGCTGGAAGCTAAAAGTGTTATCTGCTGAGGAACGACGTCAATAACCTTCATAGATCGATTGTTTGAAGGAGTCACTATTACTCCATTCTCGTTCAATAACTTTCTTGACGGCGTTCCGGCTTTTGTATCGTTCAGCCACAGATAAATTACTGATGTTCTTTAAAATCAACTGAAAAACGGATATAGTGAGTGAGTGAACCATCATATAACTAACAGTCATCGATTCTGGAGTCCTTTCTTCACTTAAACTACTTTCGAGAGAACGGATTGAATCCTTATCATCTGCAAACTCGCTCAGCAATGAGAGCCGGAGAGGAGATATTCCTTAACAGGTAGAGAGATAATATGATAAAACGTGTAGAGCAAAACCTAATGCAGCTCCTAAGGAATACAGAGAACTCCTGGAACCGGTGAAATTCCTGGATCCAGAGACCAACTTAATGTACTGTGCCGTTATTGGATTGTCCTGAGCATAAAATATTTGAGACATCTGAATAAGTTTCTTACTGGAGTAAACGGATCATATCTATTCTTCACAGAATAAGAAATATCTTCGTAGTAGCGAGGACCGAGAGCGTAACTGCTCAGCATCCAATCACAGAAACGAGCGACATCTCTCGAAAACTCCGTTGGTTTCTACACAGTTATATGATGCCAAGAAAGCCAAAAGACAATACCACGCATGTTTGAAAAATGGGATTCATAAGTCCTACAAAATTCGTTTCTGACGGATCACAAAGAGGGAAAATAAAGTGACAAGCGCCTCCTATCCATGGTTTCATGGCAACTTCTGTTTCTTTCCTTTGCACAGATATCATCTGAACGATTTGAATGTTTCAGTGTTGTTATTGATTTCTAACTTCTTTCATGGCATCAGTTATTTCCAAAATCAGTGCTGTAATAACGAATAAAACGTTAGAGAGGCAGAGCTCAGTTTGTCGGAGAGCTTTACTACATTCATCAGTGATATGGTCTCGAGCACTTAACAATTGGATGAATGAGAGAAAAAAGATAAAACAACACACCTAATCAAAGATGTATCTCCCTCCTTCGCTAATAAAACGATACTTTCTTTCATGAGCATTCGCCAACTAGCGAATGCATTCACTAAATCGTTTACCCCGTATCTCCTAGGTTGAGGTACCTGAAAAACTCGATAGTACAGGTAAACCTTCAAAAACCAACTTCAGACAGCAACCTCCGAAGAAGTTTCAAACACATAGTTTTACTCCGTTCTGGAGGACATGAAGAAACCAAATAAGGTGATAATCCTAATGTAGACTTCCATAGCCACGGGGACTGCAATGAAAGGCTTTGTAAGAATGACGAAACAAGAACTCACTTCTTTGTTGGATCTACTTAACGCCTCGAACCAATTCTCACTCAAAGATAAAATAGGGTCAGAAAAAGTATATCTTTTAGTGTACACGGGTCGTGGAACATTCTCCACCTCATCCTGTATGATTTTTTTCAAAAACTTCTCAAACCCTGGGAACGTTTAATAAATTACTGAACTACATATCCTAATATCTTACCTAGCATCTCTGTTTCTCTCATGTTACTGACCAAGCTCATTAAACTCTTGGAATCTAAGGAAAGAACAGCGAAAAGTTCCTCCTGGTCAAGGGATGCTGTCAAGGTATGAGATAGTTTTATTAAATAAACAAAAAAACACCTATGGCTTCCCAAGCTGCACGGCGAACATTGTCATTCTCCTTCTCCGAATGGCTACTGTCATAAGTTGTCAATCGCCACAACTCCTTTATGCACTCATGACGATAATCTTGTTGAGTTTCAGTATCCAGTTTTCTACAAAGTGAGAGGAAAGAGCAATACTTAGCTAATGCATCTGTATTCCCCTTTTCACGAACTTGTTTTGATAGTAACTTGTGCATGGCTCGGAAGTGAAAACTCTAGAAAGAGATTCATCAATTATTTGCTACAAATATAAGCTTACTTCTTCCTCATCCGATACTTCGACCAGTGCTTCGATAGCATACCCAAGGATTGGATCATTCTTTGTTAATAGATTTTCAAGAATAGGATATATTCTATCAGTTCTACTGCTGAAGAAGGATTTTCATTAATAGTACCGCATGTCTCCTCAATACCTGACTAGAAGCATGTTTTTCAATAAGTTAATTCTTTCCTGGATTTTGTCTTCATCGTCAATATCTTGGATCTTGACTAGAGGAAGAACTTTGTCGACTAAACTCTGATTTCTGAATATAATTTGTTATGGGAAAGGTCAAGACGACTAACTTCAGAACTAATTCACTTATGAATCTAAGAGGGACAATGTCTCCAGTTTTCTCAGTCAAAAGCATCAAGTAGTTGATAACAGGATCGATAACATACTGAAAGACTTGAGAAATAGAAGAGCTTCACATCTTACTTTGGTACAGGCGATCTCTTTAATGCTTTTCAGTAGAACTGGCTTGTCAATATTACAATGAGGCTTAGTTAAGACTAGGATATAGAAGTTGAGTGCTATGTTCGCCTGAAGATTATGTTTTTTCCATAGAGATGAATTCACTGACCAAAGTTGGGGTCCTGAGAACTATTTTATTCATAGTTTCCGTGACAAGTCGGGTCTCCGCGAAAGGTAAGAAACTTGCAGCAAACAATAAATCCTCAAGTTCGAAGCTTTTAGACTTCTGTATCGAAGTATTAAGTAAGGAGAAGCTTGGGTTCACAAACTATGGCATCCATCTGCTTCTTCCAAAGTTTGAGGTAGCCATTTGGGTTATCATCAATAACTTTTTTCAGGAAAAAGATTTTATTCCAGCTTGGAGTTTCATTGATATGATCAAGATTGGCTTTCATGCCCGAAAGCATGATGGCCTTTGCCTGAAATCCAGAACTAATACTTGAGTCACACCTTTACGAACCTTGGGAATGGTATCTGATTGCAATCCTGGCAGAGATTTCTCCATGTCAGACCTGTGTTTGGTAATGTATATCATCCTGAGGTGCAAACAACTCACAGAACTTTAGTTAAAGAAATCATGTATGGGAGAAGAACATAGCTATTGGGAAAATTCTTGTTGAGAAGAATCTTAGGGTTTTTCTGACACTCATTCACAACTTTGAACGGATCAGAAAAATCGATCTGAATCAATTATATATTAGTGGAGCTAAAATTAACTAAAAACTTCTTTGGTGTGTCCATCATTGAAGAAATTAAGTATCAGAACTTTTGTATCTAACGAAACATCCGAGCAGGAATAAAGAGCCAGAAGACAAGGGTACAATCTAGAAATGAAGTTCGTGTAAGCTTCTTACATTCGAACATACGAGTCATCGGCTTTTTGAATTATACTACGAGCCACTATATAACTGAGTGATATGTCTATTTGCAGAATCTGGAAGACAGTTCTGAAAATCTCAACTTCTTTCTCCAACCCTTCATAATATTTTCTACTTTAAAGAGCAACAACTTGGTAACTTGAAAAACCCTTGTAATAAGAGCAATTGCGAATCTCTGTTCCCTTTGAGCCTGGTCAGAATTTCCATTAGAATTTCTTCTTCATTGAAAACCCCTTGATAATCTTTGTAATTTTCATGATTTCATATGTGATTACCATTCTTGATGAGTAGAGGAACAGCCTGGAAAGCCCATCCGCTTATCACTTGTCCAAAACTATGGAAGCAGTCGATGAACACGAGTTTGTTTTTGGGATTTTTTCTTTCTTTATGGAGTAGATCGAGTAAAGAAGAGAATGCCTTAAAGTTAACAATGACTATAGTAATATGTAAGCCTAACCTGGCTATTAACCAATAGACTATTGAACTTGAAAGAGGCTGTTATATCAATCAAATCCATATCCCATCAAACAGGCTGATTTAATACTTTAAGAAGAAAAATTTTTTTTATTATAATTATATTTTCAATTTAAATTGAGAAAAATCATTTGATTCCAAAAAGATTCATGTCAACCATTTTTTTTGGTGAGATGGTACGAGTGTAAATCACACAACCGATTACGCGTTTCCGTCGTCTGAAAATGGAGTATGCCAAATGACCAAAGAATCTTGCCAACCGATATCATTCTGATAATAAATGAAATGTGACGTGTGAAAACATCATACTCCGCTATCAATCTCTACTTTTGATTTTTTTTTCGCTTCAAATATGATAACTCGACATATTAAGTCTTTATACTATTTTCATACACTCTCGTGGTCCCTTGTACTTTACATTTGTTCCGAAATACATTCTCATTCTTCTTTCTTTGCTTCATTTCGAAATTTGCATAAAATGCTGTTTGAAAGGATTCCTGATGTGCATGTACACGCCTACGGTATGTATTTCGAAACACCGCGTCGCGTGGCGGCCGCGTTTACTAAGGCTTTCTCAATTCTGACTGCCTCATAGGCGTGTGCTGCTTATATCGTTTACTGTGTTCTTATTCTTTCTACGATTGACGCTAATTTAAATAATTCGCAAAATGTTAGCCGACAATTCCAGATCACCTTCGGAATCTCTGGATTCAGTTCTGCTCAGTTCTCAATCTCGAATCGAAGACAGTGAACGCGTCATTTTCAACTGTGCCGAATACGAAGGGGAACTTCTGAGCAAGTACTTTGGTGAGTCTTACTCTGAAGTATACCCCGAAAATTCAATGCCTACATCCGTTGATCTTCCATGTGATATCATGAATGACTATGACTATCAACCAACGTTTGATGATTTCCTAAATCCTCCTCTTCCACCTCTCAACTTCAATGATCCCTTGGAATCTGTTATCAACGAGTACGAGGAAGCCAATGCCAAGAAAATCAAGCCAGAACCCATAGATGAGGAAGATTTAGAAGACCAAAAACCCTTATTGGAGCAGCGATCCCTTGTCTCTAAGTTTTCATCAAGGGTCTCTCCTTACACCCTACCACGAGCAGAACAACTTAAGCAACGACGTGGACGACCCAGCCGTGCCGGATCCAATTCGAAGATGGCCAACTATGCCCGACAGTACCGTGAAATGAAGAAACTACAGCTGGAGGAGTCAATCAAGCAAGTGGTGGATTTACATGCCGAGAACAAGGAACTACGGGAACGGTACACAGATCTTTACAATGGATATAAAAATCTTCAAGACGAAGTGCAGCGTTTAAGAAACCTTCTTTCTGGTCATATCGACGTACCTTCTAAATCTTATGAAGAAACTAAAAAAGTTGAAATCTTCTGATTTCTTTGATCTCTACTTTTTTTAGATACACGTAGTGTAGTAATCAAAAAAAAAGTCTTTGTTGATATTGTATATATTTTAACTTGTTGTAATTTTTGCATGTTTCTATCTGTATTTATATCTCACTTTCTAGATGTGGCGCGAGGGTATCCTTTCTCATTCAGCTTCGCTGGCTTGATTTTTTGGAATTTAGCTGAAGCAGTTTTCTTTCGGTTGGTGTAATGATAATATTGAATATTTATTCAATCATATTTGCTAAGCTATGAGATAGTCACAACCATCATCGCCAAATAACCACCAAAGGTGATGGACTAAGACATGTGTCCTTCTTTCTACTAGGCACCTCTGTCAAACCAAGGACTAAGTTAAGCTTAGGTAGTTCTCAAACCGGAGGAACAGGCGCTAATGTTTGAAGGTAAGCTTCAACAGAAGGTTGTACGTTATATTCACTCTCACGTTTAGGGGAAAGAATATCATTACCAATACCGAAATCTACCGAGGCTTAGCGCTATTCGATTGAAACTACAAGCAATCTTTTGACAAGATTCCTTTGCTCCATATCTAGAACTTCCAATTCTGTTTTCTTTGTTGTTGAATTCAAAATAAATTATTATGTACCCCAAATACTCTTGTTATTGACTAAAATATGATAGATGAATGACTGTTTTACGAATCTGTTAGGGTGTAATTCTGATGGGTATTGATCGGATGCTTTTCGAATATACGCGTCGCGATCGTGCGCGTTGCGCGTTGTGGCCGCCGAGTATTCACATTTACGAAAATCGACCAGTAGCAATACGTTGTCCCCTGACTATGGACATTCATATCGTCCGTAAATCTTTATTTCTCAGTATTTATGGAGTGGAATGTCGCTCTTTAATAACTTATAGTCATCTCAATCAGTTTTCAGCTTAATTAGATAGCTCTACTTAACACAAGAGCAGATGAGTTCAGAAATCAATATGCACGCAGCTCACCATAATCAAGGATCTTTAACAAGGCAAGATTTTATAAATTGGACAGCGAACTTCATAAAGCGACGGAGTCAGCGGAATTGCAATTCGAAGCTAGCCGGTTGGTATAGAAAAATGATATAGCACCTCCAGTGTTATATCAAATAGTTCCTGGTATTGAAAACATAGTTATAGCTCGCAAGGTCAGGTTGGCTAGAGAAAAGGCCAGACTTCGATTAAGGAAATCTGAGGTAATATTAGGAAACTAGTGTCTTTCGCAAGATACTTCGTGAGTACATTTTCTATGGACTAAATTTTGAGGTTGATCGAGAGTTTGAGAGATTACACAATAAGTTGTACGAAACAGCTCAACAACTACGAAATGATAATAAAATACTTAAGGCTACTTTTCTGGAAATGGCATCTAAGGTTCGTTCAATGATGTGCCCTATTGTTAAGACTCATTTTTAGTGTAACCGCTTGAATATAGAAACTAAAAGTATTCGCATGTCATTGGAAAGGGAAATAATAGCTCGAGATAGAGTTGTTCCCGATTGCGATGAAATAGACAGTGAATACCTCGATTGAACCTCAGCTTCTAAAGCGCCTATTTATTACTTAGCCTCTCGGCTAAACTAAACTTACACTTAGATCATTGATTTAGAAAATTTCTGATATGAGGCTTTAATCCCATCCAAAGATGGTCGCTAAATAATATATACATAGATCTTAGTTGATCGTTGTGTACATAATTTCGTCCGATATTGCCATGTCGCGAATTGTGATTGCCACTCTAACACGAACTTAATACAAGTGTTACGGGTAATTCTAAGTCAGTTAATAGGTATCATGTATTTAATAGCCGACCACATTCAGATGCTTTTCCCTGAAGTAGTCAATAAACCTTTTTCAATTAGCGTTCTCTCAATGATCAATCATACTTTTGTCATGCTTATTCAATAAACCGTTTTTTTTGCTTGTTATGTGTTCATTTATTCGAAAAAGTTGTGGAGCAACCGTTTACAGCGCCGAAGCATAAGGAAATGAATGATGGATGAAGCTTCATGCCACGTCATCTCTGTATTCTAATTTCAATGAGGATTGTTTTGTGTAGGTTATGATAATCTTGGTTGTTTCCTCTGATATGCATCTCGGAACTGTATTCAACCCCATTCCTTGTAAGCTTTAGTTTAACATTGTTTCGAAAACCCCGGATACGGTAAGCGAACGTACGCAAGTACGTCCGTATTGCGACCTCCAATCGAGCGAATGGGATGCTGCAGTATACTGCATGATTTTGATTCTTTCCATTTTAGTTTAGCGACCGTACTTCTTTGTTTCATTGTTAAGGATGTATTGTTACCTTTAAAATAGGTTTTTCATAACGTAGTTTCTTTTAGAAATGACGTTAACGGCTAACAGCGAATTCTTAGTTCAGCTTGGTACTCTGTACAGGGAAGCCCGTCTTGATGGAGCAAAAAGTGTTTATGTCACCATGAAGCCATGTTAGTAGAGCATATCAATCTTAATGATACTATTATGATTTTTAGATGACGGAAGATCGAAAGCAGTTCCTAAAGGTACTCCTCTTCAGCCCGACACTGTTCAATGCCTCTTCCGAGCTAAACTAGGAAATCGAAAAATAAGCACAGTTGTAAGTCATTTCATTCCGAAATATGGCTAATGTGTTTTCCCAGGTTGCAGCTAAAGATGTAAATAAATTCCATCAGGATTACGTAGGAGTTTTGCGAACAAACTTAACCAACTTAGAGAAGAGGAAAAAAGAAGATGAGAAGAAGACTAAGGCTAAAGCTTAACTATGCGATGAACTAGAAAGTACGTGTCCCTGAAGTAAATTAATGTAAAAGGTTCTTTCTGAATATTTTCTGTTACGTTCACAGGCCCACGCAATCTTTCGCTCTTTTCAATGTTGGGACTTAGTTCAGAAGTGCTGTTAAAGAAATTGTTCTTTATTTGGTAACTACGCTAGTTGCCCTTTATTTATTTCTGTTTTCTTTTTATGTGTAAATACTATTTTTATTAATAAAAGTATTATGGATGTCAGTTAACTTTCCCATATTATGCTGCAGCCTTGGCGTCGCACATCTCCTATGTGAGTGAAGCTTAGGTAGATTGAACGTTGTCGTTGTCTCGTGGTTCTATTTCCATATCGCCCCTTCAGTGGGATCAATTTGTATTCTTGAGGAGCTTTGTTAACAAGTTCATAAAGTCAGTAAAGCAACAGACAGCACATGCAAGTGTCTGAGCTTGATCCAGTGATGCGTTGATGTTGAACAAACAGTATAGCTTAACTAGCACTGACAAGCTTGAATGAGTGTTGATGTGTATGTAGTGTAAGTCGTATAATTATTGTATGAAGCAAGGAGATGTTTTAAAATCTTTGTTTGAAAATAGTTTGAATGCAAAAACAATTATGTGTTGTCAAAAATTGAGCGACAGATGATAATATATCATAATGACGCAATGGATAATAAGAAAGATTCGCTATACTTGATAATTGCAGATCACAATGTTCAACTGGTATGGTACATTTTTTCGTAAAAAGCTCATGGTATTACCCAAGCGTAATATAAACGATTATTTTTTCTTAATATGTCTTAGGCTAAGCGACAAGATATGGTGCTGATGAGAAGATGACCAATGTTGAGACGATGATGAAAATGGTAAATATGTACAAACACAATCGGTCTACAACCATAGCTGCAAACTTCCAATTATTAGAAGCTTGTTCTTCTCTGTCCGTTTCCACCATTCTTTTTGTTACAATCTGGATAGGATATGTTGGACTGTCAGCTGAACTATAATAATACCTTTAGTTCATGATAAATCCTTTGAAGTATCAATAGAGTGGCTTGTTGTCCTAAATCTATATTGGCCGGTACCTAAGAAGAACTATGAGTGAGAGGTGAGAATGATACAATGCTACTTGAGTGTTTGGAGAACCAAGTGTAGAAGAAGTAAATCCGTTTGTTAAGCCCGTGGCAGTCATGTAATGATGAAGCCTTCTCTCTACATCTAAGGAATTTGATCTGAATAGCGAGATTACAAAGTGACTTCTCAAAGAGCTCAAAGAAAACCTGCTCGAACTGGATTCGTTTTCTTTGATATTTCTAATTAGAGATTCAGAATGTCTTTTCGGTTTTGAGCAGAAAATTGAAGGTAAATTAGCATAACACAGAGTAACTCCTGGGCGCTCCATACGAAGCATCCAAGGAAACCAGAAAAGCAATAGTGAGCGAGTCTGTAAGTACTTTTGGTTATTTCTAAAATCAGCTACACAGTACCATTGCACTCATTTCATGGGTTTCTGGAGTGCGGTAATGTAAGTTTAATACATATACTGTGAAAACTGTGGAAGCTGTTACCACAATCATACAGCAAGTGAAGAAAATACCTACAAGTTCAATATAACATAAGGGTGTACTTAATGTTTTTTGAGAGAATTTGCTCTCTAACCGTTCACTGAGCCTGCATTGTTTAAAATGAAGTCAACATGCTCACGTGAAACGTGAGAATTTCTTAAGCCGTATGCTAATTAACTAACCCAGTAGAGGAACAGCTTCAGATGTTGGAGGAGACATATCAGAGACTATAGAAAGGAAGAAACAAATTGAAAGCAAAACAGTTATTTCTTAAATAATATAGGTTGAAGAAGTAGGTGAAGTAAGCATACGTAATGTTATTTTCTCTCCTGCATCTGGTGGAAGTGTAAATCCTAGTAATGTCATGAGAGTTGTGAGAATACATGGCATAATCAAATTGAAACCTAGTTCATATGATTGAATCTGTTTCTAACTAGGTACATACCATAATAGAGAGTTCGTCTTCTCATGTGTAAGTAGAAAGTCAGGTCGGGATACGGCTCTGGACAGCAATCATAGAATTTAACACTGCGAGAAACACTTGTCACTATGTCAATTGATTAAAAACAAATTATTTGAATACTCAAATTACTTGGCAGAGCCCATTCACCATTCGGAAGATATTCCGATATATCGAAACCACCTTTCGCCGGTCTCAAATCCAATTTGTTACCATCGTATGTCCATGAACCAAACTGAAAATGTAGGAAATGCAGACGAATTCTCTTCTCCAAACCTTGAAAAAACACTTTTGCTCATCAAAAGGAAACCATTGAATATCTATTTTACAAGAAATTTTGAAAATTCCTGGTGGAATCCAATGAACGTCGCCGGTGTTATAAACGACCATGTTGGTAGGATAAGTTGAATCAAAGTTAGTGTCAACACTTGAAAAAATTTTATTTGTCTCTCTAAACTTGCATCAAACCTGTTATATAACAAAACGTCTGGCTTCCAGGTTTTGCCTGCTGGAAAACGGACATCAGTGATGTTACCATATTCAGCGGTGTCCCAGACAAGCTTATAGTCGTTCCACGTCTAAATAGAAGAAGTAAGAGAGATGCTCTAGGTTAACAACAGTACATAATCAAGCCAGGCATTTATGTAAACAACCTGATTCTTCTCATCGACATCAATAATTTGTTGCAACGAAACCTACAACCGAAATTTAGCTTAAGTAGCTATGATCGTTTTACTTTTAAATAGACAACAACAGGCTGGGAATGGTTGGACACAGGGCGTTCAAGATTATTGTAGTCTCTCATCAAATCCTTAATTGAAGTTTACCGTAGGAGAAGCAAAAGTATTCATACCTCATACAGACGTCGTTCATGATATGATGGATATGCCCCATTAAAGAATGAAACACATAAGAAGAGAAAGAACAACATGTCATCGTCGGATCAGTTCATATGCTGAAAGCGACTGATTGCTTCATCGAATGAGTATGCAGATACAGAATAGAAGGTACATAAGACGAGATTTGATGTTGATAAAGCATATTGTGCTAAATTCACTTGTTTTAACTACTTTTTGAGTGAGATTTATAAATCCTCGAAATAGATTACAGCGTGAGTTGGATGGGAATAAAAACTGAAATATCGCCGTTTCAAAAGTCTTTAAATGCTCGTTTTTGTGAGAGAACAACTATGAAATATGAAAGAACTTGGCAGACACCAAAAGGAAGGAAATGTAAAGAAATCAGAGTTGTAGTATTGAATGATGTGTAAGAAGAAGCTGTAAGATGTGATGGACAAAAAGTCGATTGAGAAGTAGACATAGGTTAGGTTAGATGGAGGTATCTTCTCCTATCTGGATGTGTCGATTTTGTTTGTGTTTTAGTGATAAAAAATTGGCGAATTGGCGACAGGGATGAATACAAGTCATTTATCACGTTCTGCTATTACAACGGCTACTGAGCTTCTCTTGAACGGAAGTGGCCCATTCGGAAAGACAAAAAATAACAGAAGAGAAAAAGGAAAGGTTTATAGTGAGTCTAGTTGCAATCAACAGTGTTACTCATCTTCATTTAGTTCAAAAAGATAATGTTAGTGAATGTTTGTGGACTCGTTTGAAAGGGTTAATCCTTATACTAGTACATAATCAAAACACAAGTGGAAACTTGAAGCTGGAACAAAGAAAAGCTTATGTTGAATGAGATGCTCGAAGATCTTTCTATGTTTTGGGTGCTTTTCATTGAGATAGGCATGGGAGAACCAAGTTAAAACCTATATGAGTTGTTTAGAATGTTATGAAGTCCTTTTTGTGTCCAAGAAAGGCTAAAAAATAAAAAAGCTTCTCTTGTCTCCAGCTTCAACTCCCTGAGGAGTTCGATAAGAGAGATTTGAAACAACGAAACTCTCCGTTAGTGTTATTAACAAGAATGAAATGAAGGTGAGTATAGTGAGAGTTCATGTGAATAGAAAGCGAATGATGAGCTTTGATTCATCTCGTTAATAAATTTCGTTGTTGGTTTATCAGATTGATTGAAGCTTGTGCAATGCTTAAGCTGAGAATCAATGAAGTTGCAAAGAAAGCGTTCCAAACGTTTGAGACGGAATGATAAATGTGAAATAAAAGTTTTTTTGTTAACTCTATTAATGCAAAAGGAAAATCAGAGAACAGTTGTAACTTGTTGGTTCAAGTGCCGATTATATCCGAGGAGGAACTAGCAGAGGAACCTGCAGATGGTATTGCGTCGTTTCTCCAAACGACTTCCTCTTATCAGCGTTTGAAAAACAGCCAGAGGGCAGTTTTTTGAGTGAAAGATCTACTAGAAAATCAAGAAAGATGCTCAAAGTTAACGGAAACGCAGGAGAATCAGACAAACTGAAACTTATTCATCCATGTGAGAACTTAGGCAACTCAAGAGGCCGCACAGAAGTTGCAAATCATGAGTTAGATAATTCCAACAAAGCTTTGTCTGCTTTTTATGCTAATAAGGCATGTTAGTTCGAATCCCAAATTGGAGTTAAGACAGATATAAAGAAACTGAAAGAAAACATAACATTACGGCTTATTACGAATGAGTTGTGGGGGAAAATCTCGAGATAAAGTGTAGTGGAAAGAAATGGTGTGGGTGTTTAGTCCGAGCTACTTCAATGAAAGCAGTTCCATACTATTAAGAATTGAAATAATGAAAATCAAAATTATCCAAGAGATGGCGAATCCCGATGTCGCTCTGACATGAAACTTCGATCACTTTTTAAGCCTTGTGTGACAAATGACCTCAGGTTCGGAATCTCTTACGTAGATAACAGCTGATGGCTTAGTTCAGAAGGGGAGGGAGGGATTACCATTCGAGGAGATGGAATGCTGAGCAAGGACGGTGTTAGAGGAGAGATTTCATATATAAAAGTAAAAGCAGATTAAGTAAGTTATTGAAAAGTGTGTGAATAACACCAGTTTGCTGATAAATAAAGTGTTCGTTTGGAAATATGTTGTGAGACAATTGCTCTGGAAGATTGAAGTGCATCCACGTATCCGATTCCATTTTAGCTTCTTGTTGTAAAAGTGATAGAGGGAGAGGAAGTAGAATAGCGTTGAATATTCAGAGAAGAAATAAAACAATTGACGATATCTTTTCGAACATTCGTTTTTGCTTATATAGCTTGTAAGGACAAGAAGAAAACGAAAAAAGTTCATTCGTTAAGAGATGGCTGTGCTAATGGATTCGACCACCGGTGGAGGAATTGATATTGGCCGTTTACATCCAATCATTTCTCTTAAAACACTTGATAGAACAAATTGTTAAATGAGATAGAATAGGATAGTCTAATGAAGATAATTGAAAACTGGAAGTTCAGATAGAGCCGTAGAGAAGATGAAGTCGGTAAAGTTGAAAGGAACTCAAATGCTTCGAAAACTTAGGAATGCATTCAATGCAGAGGTAATAGTCTGGGTCAGCTTCATTTGTTTCTTGGAAAAGGAATGGAAATGCGAAAATGTCTTTCAATGTTTAAGAAAATAGGAAGAAACATATCATTCATCTATTTTTTGGGATGAAAAAAACAGACGAAAGGGATAAGGCGTAATGAGTAAAATATGGAGAGATTACAAACGGAATTCGAATGTAAACTCTCCCCCCCTCCCTTTCAGTTGACCTTTGGCATTTGTTGGATTTCAGATAGAAGTTCAGAAACAAATAAGATTTGTTTCACTAAACTAATCCAACTAAAAATCAGATATGGGATTGGAACTACTTTGTAGTGCAGATCCACTCACGTGTCTCAGGTTACGAGAGCTCAAAACGACAAAAATGGGAAAAACTATAATTCCTGAGAAAAAAACCTTCGTCTGAGAACAATTAAGAAGCAATGCTTCCCTCTTGAACAGAAAGTAGATAAATATTTTTGAATGCGGAAAAAAAAGATGAACATAGTACTTTAGAACACACGGAGAAACGACGAATCATGATGGATTTAAGATGGAAACTAATTTAGTCAAAGGATATTGGTGCAAACGATGTTGTTTGCACAACCATTTTAAGTCAATGAACTGCTTTGAGCAAAGTAGATGGACAAGCCTAGATGAATGACCGAATTCCGAAGACGACTAATCCGATTGGTGTATTTTCTGAAGAGCCAGGGAGATCCAAGAAAAACACAGACTTTGTGAAAAGAGTGAACGATAGGATATGAGATGATGAATTTCAACAAATGAGATTTGAGACAATGGGTGAGGAGCAACCGTTCCGCTCCAGAAAACTGTGGAAAATGAAATGAAAACGCACAAGCGTTTCACGTGTGTGTGTGTGTTGCTGCTGAAACGCAAAAACCCTCAGAAGAAATTATTTTTCATGTTAGTTAATGCTCATCATTTACTATAATCAACAAAATCGTAGTATTAAGTGATTGCTTAGAGACAACTGAACAAACAATAATCGAAAATATAGTTTCGACACAACACACGTAGAAAAGCAATTTGGATGAAAAGGCAATTTTGATATGAGGTGGTGAAAGAAAGTTTTCGTATCTGAGAAATCTTCTTTTTCGAAAAAGAAGTGTAATGATAACACATGTAAAAGTGTCTCAAAGAGGTTTGAAAAGCTTTAAAGACATCAAAAAGAATTAGGAAAATCATTTAAAAGAGAACTTAAAGCAGCTGTTGCTTATTGTTTTCTAAATCATAAATTTCAGCGTTCTGTTTATTGCAGCAGATCATCATTGAAGTTTGTTTCCTCATTAGGCTACTGCCTACAGCACAGACAACCAAGTATTCGGGCATGTTGATAAAGTCTCAACCTTCTTCTTGATGTCTTTCTCTTTTTTTTCAATTTCAACGAAAAAACATACAGATAGAGTTTTCCAACTAACTTTTTTAAGTAATCAAATCCGCCTACATGTAAATTAACAGAATTCCCTTTCAATCCCCATAGTTTTGTTTTCAAAATACTTCTATTTGAAGTTGTACTTTCTTTTTCAGTTTTTTAAAGAAAAAAAAGTGCCAAACAAATGGAAGAAATGCAGAAATATTTTCACTTAACAAGCGTTCGTACGAATTTCTGATGAATTTTTGACGATCATTGAGCAACGTCAAAATCCTGGAGACTAATCAGTCATCTGATGGACAATCTATCGACAAAAGTGTGAAAAGTCGTTCAGTCACCCACGCTTCGTTCATCTTCTTCAAATAAATAAAGTTATTGAAAAAGAAAAAAAATATGAAATAAGAAAAGGTGGAAAGAAAGTTTTATTTTAAAACTTATTTGAGCACAGAGATCAGTTCTATGTATATGAGAGCGATACCAGTATTTTGACATCAAAATGAAATACGTTTCCTTCAATTCACGCAACCAGATATGGTGCACGAAATGTGAAAGTACATGATGTTAGTAATAATAAAGCCGTGAAACATAATAGCCCCAAACGATCAACAACGATAGCTGCAAATCTCCATTCGAAAGCCACTTTTTTATCTTCTTGGGAATCATCGTCGTGCTCACGAATCATCTAAAAAAATCATTTTTAAGAATTAATGCTTTTCAGTATGTTGAGTCTTTGCCATTGAGCAATAGCTTCTCTCTCTATCCCTTCATGCTAACCGGTCAGTTCTGGCTCACTTACGTACATACATTGAGTGGGTCTTTTTCTTTTTATCAATAATGGTAGGCAGTAAAGAATTGAATTTTTGTTTTTTCTTTGTTTTTCTATTAAAAAGTTATTCGTCTCGATGACACTTTAAGATTCACCCTCAAACGTATTAGATATGCGGCGGTTGTTTAAAACAATCAACAGACACTACCTTTACATGATCGTGAATTCTCTGAAGTACTCTCAATCTTTCCATCAACTTCTTATCAGTTCCTTGTTTCCCCGAATTAACCTATAGATTATATGATGATATGACACTTGTTCTAGGATGTACCTGGAATATAACGTTTTCGAAGTTTTGTTTCATCGTATCCCCAACGGTTTGCATTAATTTACATGTTCCATCTGTCTGAAAAAAAACAAATTCCAAAGGGGTTGACAGAAGTTTCTCGAATACATAATCAAAAGCAGTTCGAGCATCTTCATCACGATTCCGCCGCTCTTTCCAACTCTCTTTCATTGTAGATAGTGTGTTCGGCCGTCTAGGTAGTTTCAGCCGTAAGAACCATGGAGCCCATTCCAATAAGAGATATCTCATCTAATGAAGTGAGAATGTATCTTTGAAACAACAAGCAATAAATTTACCCAAAATCCCATTCTCTGAGTATTTTGATGGTTACGGAAGTGATAACTCTGCACATAGACGGTGAAGGAAGTAGCCAGAACCGATATAACCATACAGCTTTCGAAAAAAACTCCTGAATAGGCCAAATAGTCATCCTGCATTTCTAAAACTGTAGAAATACCTAACAAGGGAACAGCTTCGGAGGTATGCGGAGTCATTTCATTCATAATTGTCAAGAAAATGCAAATAGCTAAGGTGACGGATATCTGGAATGCTCGTTGTAATTTATTTCAGACGAACGGTTTTCTCTGTACCTGTAATCCAATCTTCTCACAAGTGTCAGGTGAGAGAGTGAAACCTAAGATTACTAAAATCATTACCAACAAACATGGCATAATCAGATTAAAAGCATAGTATCTGAAACCACAAAATGAAAAAAAAAGGAATTTCAACAACATTCTTACAATGTTCTTCGTCTTAATACCAAAGTGAATTTGATGTCTTCGTATTCTTCAGGGCAACATTCGTATGTTTTTATGGATACATTGGCTGAAGAGCCTGAAACGAACACATCTTGTATGTTGTCTCTGTTTTGGTGATCCTTACTCATTATTAGCCATTCGCCATTAGGTAGGAATTCAGAAAAATCAAAGTCACCATGTTTCAATTCAATTTTATCTCGACTGAATGACCAAGAGCCAAACTGAAATACGAAACGATAATTATGATGATATGAGAAGATGAAACCTTGAAAAAACATATCTGCTCATCAAATGGGAACCAGTAAATATCTAATTTACATGAAACCTAGAAATGAGAACATATTAATGAATATTCCATTATAAGAGATTAGAGCACAACCGGAACAAGCAATTTAAAAAATAAAAATGATCAACATCGCAATTCACGTAAGTGACGTGGCTTTTTCACGTCACTTATACTAATGAAGTTTATTATAATATATTATGTAAACTAATGAAAAAGTCTTACTTTAAAAATTCCTGGTGGGACCCAATTAACAGTACCATCAGCATAATTAATGAGATTAACTTTATACGTCGAATCGAATGCGGGATCCACGCTTAAAATAATACTATTTGTTTCACGAAAACAAAACAAATCTGAATATTCTAATAACCTATTGTAGAGAAGAATATCTGGTTGCCAAAGAGAACCAGATGGATGACGTAAATCAGTCACATTATCATATGCAAGAGGTTCCCAACGAAGATTTTCATCTCTCCAAGCAAACTTCAGCCAAGCCGATACTTCGAGCTGTTCCTCCTTTTCGTTCTGAATGTAATCTCTTGTTTTTTTGATTTTTCTTGCTTTGAACAGATATACCAAATTAATAATTTGTTGAAGTGAAATTCCTAATGTGACTACAACTGGTTTTGAGCTATCCAACACGGGTCTCTCTTCCGTCACATAACCAACCATTAAATCATTTATCAGCCGTACCTCAGGTGGAGATGACGTACAATGAGGTATGCATAATGAAAAAATCAGAAAGATTGTCTGAAAATTTGTATTTTTAAATAATTTATTATTTTATATGAATATTTTAATTACTTTTTCTATTTTCATAACCAGCACAGTGGTGTCTGCAGATATTCTGAAAGAAGAGAATTACGAACGAACACTGCCTCAGACTGCAGAGAGAGAAAGATGAAGTACGGGAAACAAATAAACTGGCAAAGGATTAAATTCGAGTTAATTACAAGCTTTTTCTCAACACAAGACAGCTGGCAGACCTGATAATCAATCCTCGTCATCTTGTCAAAACGGTAGGAAAACTGATAGATCTATCAAATCTCAACATGAGCAATTCTTTTGATGATTTCCTTTACATATTCTTTTTTCAATAATATGAAATTCCGATCAAATCCACCAGCAAAAAAGTGGGATTTTGTCAGAAAGAAAAACCGCCTAAGAAGAGGAAAGTCGGTAAAAACAAGAATGACAACGGAAATGAATGGAAATCGTTTTATATTTTCATGTTTAGAAGTATTTTGATTCAGTTTCTTCGAGATTATAAGCTTTTAAGAAAGAATGACTTTGACAACAAAGCTTTTTTGCAAAGCGCCCGAAGGAGACGACGTCGAAGATGAGCCAAACGAGGAAAGCAGGACGAAAGCGAAAGCGAAAAGCTCTCGAAGAGCATATGAGAACTCAACAAGACTTATAGAACGGAATAGTAAGTGAACTATATGAGATAGAGAGCACTGTGTTGTAATACACGAAATATCTATCCAGCTGATCAAATTTCTACGTTAGCTCGTGAGTTTCAGTAAATGACCTGGAGCAGGAAAAATACAATGATTTATTGGAAAGTCATAATGAGGGAAAATCTCAACTAAAAAAAGTGTAATGAACACATAGAAATAAAGATAAACTTCTAACTATGCAAGTTCGTGCACGTTTTAAGCCGGAAATCGATTTCGTCTCTTCACCACCACCAAACACAAGTACCTTTGGGCCATTGGGCCTTAGGGGATTAGTGGGCTATCTTTAAGAAGCCTTGATTCGGTCTTCTCTCAATCGTTTCAGCTAAATAAAGAATTAGTGATGAAAAGTAAGTGGATACAAAGTAATTTGTTTCTTCAGAGACAATATCTTCCTCCATCTCATATACAGAGGGATTGTCTGAAAAATCATTTCATGTGATTTGTGATGAGTATGAATCCGTCTCTGTCTGTCTCTCATGTCCGTACATCTTGAGAACCTTTTTAAAACGCAATATCTAAAGTGCCATTATATTATTTTCTTGCTTCAACTTGTTAGACAGACGTTGATGAGGGCAAATGTTCTATATTCTAACATATTAGAACCTTATGGGACAAACTGTTTGATATCATTCAAATTGCCATGGGAATTTGAATTGTGAACATACTGATTTCAGTGAACTTGTATATGAACTACAAGATTTTGATATTATCAAAATATTTTTCGATATGAACATTTTCATTTTTGAAATTTGAAATTGAATGCAACCGCGTTTGTTCGCTCACATTTTCAAAATGAAATTCACGTGGGATTTATGCAAATTACGTGAAAAGAAGGAAGGAAGATGCTTTTTTTGGGGAGAACTATTGTTACCGAAACAAACAAAACTTCATCTTTAAACTCTAAATTGAGTATTGAGATTCGCAGGAAACCTTTTTTATGAAATTAACTATTTTCAATAAAAAATATATTTTCTATTCAATGGCCGGCCATGGCGGATAATGGTGAACAGACGACCTCCGAAACTTTCATGTTTCAAATCCAAAGCAAGCTTAATCTTCTCATTCTTCATCCATGCACATCTCTCTGTATCTCTCTCAGTGCTGATCATCTCGTTGAGAAGAAATATATAAAAAATGAGAAAAAAAAGCCATTTTCTTCAATTATTTCTATTATGAATTCAAATAAACCAAATATTCAGCATTATTTTCATCTTCTCTTCTACTGCGTTCGCAGATTTGGTTAACTTTCTGATTAGTTTTATTTCAAAAAAAAAAAACGAAAAAGAGAACGTCCTTATTCAATTGATGTCAACTACTGCTGCAATGAGGAAATGCTTCTCAAACACTATCATAACATATTCAGAACAGCTGAAAAAATTTTTTTATTTTTGAAATTCCATCGAGAATGATCTTGATATGAAAAAACCTTCATCTTTTATTGATTCTGACTAAAATGGGAAATTCGAGCTAATTCTTTACCTGATCCTTCAAATCCTTCGACCCATTGTTCATTCAACTAAATGAACAAAAAACTTTTTCTCTTTCTCTCTCTCTGTGTCGCCCACAACTAAAATTTCCTATTTTTTTTTTGAAACCACTTGACTCTTCCGAAAAAGGAAATTCCAAATTTCTTTTTAATGAACTACGAAATGTCAAAAAAAAACGACTTGTAGTAAACCCTCTCACGTTTCGTCTCTTCCAAAGTCTCTTTTTTTGCTGCTTCTTCTCTTTGCTACCCCCTTCCTATCGTTGCAAAGATAGTGAGCTTCTTCTCACATCTCATAATTTCCGTTTTATAATACTGCTAAGCGTTGAAGATGAGATTTGAATCATTAAGCACGTCATGTAATAGTAGGCGACTTCTTAATTTATGGGATTATATCTAAAAATGATAGGAAGATTAGTTGTCTGCTCTCTGATTTTCAGATCATGAACACAATCTAACCTTTCATATTCGAAACGGATTACCGCAAGATATTTTCGCCACAACAAAATCTTTTTTTGTATTCAAAATGCCGCCAAGAGACATCTGACCTCACTTCTCACCATCTTCACCTCCTCCCTTCTCTATGTCAGAGTTTCTTTTCAAACAAACGAAAGTCTTTAAGCCAAGTGAACATTTTGATCATTTTCCCATTACATTGTTTTTAACAAAAAGTACTTTTCAAGAGTATTATCTCTCCTTCATACTACATTCTTTTTCCTTTCCGAAACTTTCTCCACAATTCTTTTTTTTTCTTCCATAATTATCCAAATTATATATTTTGCTCCTAATTATTTCAATCAAATTATCCTACAAGTTGCCACGAGTCTGACTTTTCGTTGTTTCAAATGTTCATGTCGGAGGCGAAGAAGCTCACATCCACATCGTTGACAGCCTTATAATCCAAGAAAGCACACTACATGAATCAAGCGACGGTTTTCCCTCGTGATTACAGCTTCATCGCAGGATAAATCTGGGAAATTGAACTCTTTTCCTCTTTCTCAAAAGTCCATTCTTTCATTTGCAATCTTTCTCTCTAACTCTCTCTATCTCTGTCTCTCAATCCTTCTCTCAGATCGTCCACACAGAAAAAACTCTTTGAAGGAAAAAGTATTTTCTTGTGCGAAGTTTGTTGCGAAGCTTTCAGTAACAATTTCGTTTTTATTTTAAAACTCAATGTTACATGTTTTCTTTTCTACATTTCTCTTCACAAATAAATATAAAAAGATTATGGAAACTTAGCTAAATGATGTTCGATAAATGTTTTTTTCCACTTTACTTTTTCGAAAAAAAACAACAAAATTTTGAGATATTTTCTCGTCTGGAGAGAAACATCTATAGCATAGTCTTCCTCACCATAATTCGCATTCACACTTCGATCACCTTTTCCCATAAACTTTTATTATAAATTATTTAAGGCGAACGAAGAGAGAAAAAAAGAAAATAAACTATCTTTCCAAGTTCTTTCTCAACATCCATAACTAACTAACTTCGTCATATAAACATAAGCTTCTTCACCATATTAGAGTAATTAGCATAATCCAGCCAAAATGAATTCGTCTTGCCGTTTCTTTTTGAAACATTACAACTTCTCTCTCTCTATCTCTGTCAACCTCTCTTACTCTCTCACTCTATCTCAATCCGAACCTCTTTCATTCTCTCTCTCTCTCTATCTGAACCTCTATGTATCTCATTTAGGGAATATATAATTTCAAACCAACCGTTCTCTGTCTACTTTGACGAAAAAATGAAATATAATTTTTTGAAAACAAAAAATTAGAATGAACGTCAGTTGAAAATGTTAATCTCTAGCATAATTAGCATATCAGTCACATTGACGTAATTTTTTCGATAAATTTTCACGTCCGTTCGAAAGGATAACTCGTGTTTTGTTTTGTTTCGCCTTTTCCCTATATAGTATATAAGCATATGATTGTTTGATAACCACTTTCTTAGCTCTTCATCTGTTGCTGGCTTGCTTGCTTGCTTGTGTCTTCGCTTGCTTGCTTGCTTGCTGCTATATCTTATTCGATTCGACTTCTTCTTTCACAGAAAGAAAAAATGAATAATTTCTGGAAAGAAAACTATTTACTTTAGACTTTATTCTTTCATTTATACCCCAATGGTCTATGCAACAGAACATTGAAATTGCCCTAAGCTAGAAGAAAATCTGACTCAAATCGGAGCTTAAATCAAATTGTGTTGGCCAGAGAAAGCTTCGTTTCCATGAAAAGCTTGTGAATGAGAGTGAAGATACCACCTAATATAGCCTTGTGAACATAATGAGTTGGAACATTAGAGATTCTTCTGTGACATGCCCACACTTCTGCTTCTCATTTACCTCCCTCAATCAGTCCATCTGAATATTTCCATCTGTTTCTCACGCTCTCTATTCTTTGTATTTTTTGTGATGATGATCATCTTCCTTTTGAAAATTCCTCTAAAAGATTGTAAGTGAAATGAAATAAAATAAAAAAACAAATCAGTCTATGCAAAGGCTGAAACCTCAAAGTCAATCTTCGCTTGGAATATTCTTCATCAACACTCATTACATCACAAATCTGACGAATAAAATAATGTTTTTTCTCATCCTCATCGGCTGTTTTTCATCGTCTATGAATTTTCAAAGAACTCATCCGTTTGACCTCAACAGCTTGCATGGCACAATTCAATCGTTATCTTATAGTTCAATGCTATTAAAGTTCTTTAGCTATTCTTCGCATCTCATCTCTCCCACATAACTTGATCATTTTCTTTTTTTAGAACTGAAAAGTAGTCGCTATAAGCTCCTCAATCTATCCTTTGTGATTTCAAATAACAAGAAAGGTGCATGCACTATCTAATTACCATATATCAAACTATTATATTTAAAAATTATGTTTTTTCTCTTGTTCTCATTAACTATCACACAATTGGGCTGATAATCCGCAATTTCCGAGGAATTCAATCATTCGGGCTGCCAATACCACACAAGCTTAGAGATAGTCCTTTCTTGAATTACTTTTCCACCTTCTCCTCCCCCCTCTCATTATTTTTTTTTCTTTGCTGTTGTCTAATTTCGATTACATCATATTTGGTGAACCACCTATGCACTTACTATCCCATAGCAGCATCGAGAGAAACAGAGGTTGAAACTGAAAGTTTGAAAATAAAACATATAAACTTCTTGTGTTCAGTGCCTTTCTCACATCTTAGGTCTTCTTTTCCTCTCCAAATTACACATTTTTACTTTCAATCTGAAGCCGAACAAGAGAGTGTGAGCTTCATCTAAAATTCTACTTCTTCTTCCAAATGGGCTAATGTTACTCAATGAATGCCTCAGGCAAGCGCTCTACGAGAACAGAAAAATGAACCTTTTTTTGGAAAAGAAGAAAAAATAGAATGTGAGTCAGTGAACAGAGCATGTTGATGGCCATGTTTGAAAGATTTCAACTTTTATTTTTGTTTTCTAAGATAGAAGTTGGAGAAGACGAAGAAGAAGAAGAAGAAGAAGGATGAAGAAGAAGGCAAAACTAGAAGGCAGAAGAAAGAGTTTCCATCAGGAGAAGATGTCGTCAGCTCAACAACTTCTATTTTTATTTTTATTTCTTTTCTCTCTCTCTCTCTCTTACTCTCTCTCTCTCTCTCTCTCTCTGTCAAACATATTTTTGTTTCTTCTTCATCATTGTTTTTCTTTTTTTTCTCATAATATTATAATTTTTTAATTCAAACAACACTATTTTTACCATTTCAGAATTAGTATGAAGGATAACGGCAATCTAACGTTACTTCCTCTTATGGATATTGAAGATTATGATAACTTATCATTTTTATATGGAAATCAGACTATTATTGCTCAATCAAATTCAACTGAAATCATTTCAAGACGTCATTGGCATTATGTGTTTGTATCAATAGCCATATGTGGAATATTAGCTAATGCTTCGATATTTTGGAGAAGAAAATCATCGTAATTCATACCTTATAGAGATATATAATATAATATTTTTCTTTTCTTATCCAGAAAACGATCATCATCAACTACAAAAACTTCTTTATTCCTCTTAAGTACAATGGCTGCTGCTGACACAATTTGCCTCATTTCTCTCCTTTTTATGTTAACATTGCGTTATTTTCACATCAAAGAAGTGTGGTTTCTGAATTTAGTTTGTAAAGTAAGTTTCGAGAATATTTGAAAATGGATATTTCAAAATAATATTTTGTCTTATAGATCGATTTATTTCTCATACATACTACAAGTGCTTTCTCTATATGGTGCTGGCTTGTATTATCGGCAGTACGATATGTTGCTGTCTATCGGCCATATACACATCTTCGATTAAACAAAGAACCGCGTCTGGCTGTGGTAACAATTCAAATTTTATTCTATTTATACTCACGTCTCACATGATTTTCAGATAATTTTAGCCGTTTTCTGCTGTTTAATGGAAATTTGGGTTTTATTTGATATACAATATCACCCAGATGCCCAAGGTATTCATTTTTTTGAAACAAAAAAAAAAGGAAAAAGAGGATGATGGTGGCTTTGAGAGTAGTACGCAGAAGAGAGAGCAAGAAAGAGGGAGAGAGAAGAAGAGAAACAGCCTAATGAGACAATGAAAGTAGAGTGGAGGAGATGAGAAAGAGATGAGCACCATACAACCGTTCCGTAGAGGCTTTTCAAATTGAATGACGTTGATCTATCACGCAAGTTCACGCATATGTTACGTCATGTTTACGTAAACCGACGTCACATAGCAAGAGAATAACTTTTAACTAATTATTAGCACAAATCCATGAAACTCATCATTCATTCTTTCATTCTTCAGCTTGTATGAGCAGTTCTGATGAATGGCTGAGCAGAAATCTTCAAATATCCGAGATAACAGCTTCTTACTTCCTACCCGTAGCCATATTAACCGCTTTAGACATGAAGGTATTCAGTTTCATTATGTTTCAACTTTCAATGTTTCATTTATTTAAAGGTTTTGGTCTGTCGTCCATTCTACCATGAGAAATCAAATAAAAAATGTGAAATGTCATCAACTACAGCCAGAGACAGCCCTTCATTAGTAAGAGCTGTTCCAGAAGAAGCAAAAGCCATGTGTCATCTTGAAGTAACTTCTCAGAACTCATTAGGAAACAATAGTAAGTATCGCAAAATGGAGTATTTTTTACTTGAGAACTCTGTAGGCTTGTCCAGGGCAATATTCGAATCGAGTAAACTATTAGGAGGAACAACGAAATTAGCCTCGTTTGATAACTCAACACTCAAACGCGTGAGGTAAGCAGACACTATATATTCTTTGCTTCAACTTCTTTCTCTAATGATAAAAACAAAACAAAAACGGCTGATGATGATAATCAAACACAATTTTGCTGTTCCAGATCAAAGAAGCGATCACAACAAATGCGAGTTCTCAGAAGGTGTCTCTGCATTACCATATTGGACTTGAGCATGAACCTTCCGTCATATCTTCTGCGGCTATATCTGACTATCATTACCGAAGATGAATTCCGTAATTTAAATGAAAAAGCTATGCATTATATGGAATCCATCGCACAAGTTCTATATTTTGCCCAATTTGCTTTGAATGGCTTATACCTTGCATTCATCATCTACGATACGCCAAAACCGAAAGAAAAGGTTCGCTCAGTATATATAGCTTTGATTGAATTAGCCATGTTTACAGGTGCCTCTTAGTACTCAAATCAGCTCAGCTTATCATTCTCTTACACCACGAACATCATCAATGAAGTCAATGTCGAATCATCGAAGATCGTTCAGATCACGTGAGAGCGAAGTGCTAATGGTTTGAATGAACTCTATTCACTTTCATATTTGTATATAAGGATGTTAAAATAATTGTTTCATACTTAATAAACGGGTTTCTAATAGATGTTCGATCACAAGATTCACCAGAATCTCAGTAAACGTTTTGCATGGAACTAAATTGAGCTGCGGTTTCTTGCAATTTGGACAGTCCTTAGAGAAATCTTGTTTACCGAAGTTCTGACGATGAAGATCAGACAATCTTACTTCAGCTAAAGGCTGAATCTCCTTTCCTTGATTGGAACATTCTCAGTTTGCCAGTGAAACAACAGTTTACGTATATAAAATTGGATTACGTCTTGTTATTCGATAGAACTCTAAGAAACCGGAAATAAATGCCAATGAAGTTCGAAACTAATTTTTAATTTCGTTTATTGTTTTCAATTGATAAATTTTGAATTATGTAGCACCTGGTGGTCTGCCGCCTCTGACCCGACTTCCGCGTCAAGCAGGGATTTGTGTAGAAGCTCTCCAGCTGTCGCTGTCATTACAAAATACATTTGATTGATAACATTTGATTGAGATAATCATATTTAGTCATTTTGAGTAACAATTCCAAAGGGATCAAATGATTTCTAGAAGACTAGTGACCATAAATGCTGTAGAATGATAACAACGAGATGCCCCAGAGTTCCTAACAGAATTGGCAGAGGTAAAGCTGGCAACGTTTCAGAATCTGCAACAAAAATCTTTGTTTATATAATGAAAAATCGTCAGACGATCACAAGGATAGCACATAGTGAGATATAAGCCAATGAGAACACCAAGTATGCAAACTGATGTTGCCAAAATACTTCCTGAAAAATAAGTTTTTCTTTTTCTTCTTCTTCTCCCTTTCCAATATTTCTCACCATTAGTGGCAGATGCTCCAGCTAGCACTCCATAGAAAACATAATCGCCCACACCTAGTCGCTGAGATCCTTCAAGAATACTGCTTATTACCTTCAAACACTTTTCTCATTTATTTACCATCATTTAAAGCATCATCAGCTGTTCGAGCATACTCTTTTCCAGCTTTTAATCGTTTCTTAGTTGTTGATTGTTTACTATCTAAAATTGAAAATAAAAAAACGAATGTTTGTAGTTACCATTCGACCTTTATCAGATGAATCATCTGTATCACAAGAATACATCAGAACTCTCACAAACTGAAAAGAGAGAAGGGGAGGGTGACTTGAAAAATTGGCTAAAGTAATAAAGTACATTATCGCTATACTCTCCAGCTCTCTCCTGTAAGAATCGCAAAGGCCCATAGCGTGACATTACCGCAAATGCATCTGAAGGTTTTACGTCTAATAAAGATAACTAACTAATTGATTACCCCATGCTGAAATGAAAAACAAGAAGAACCATAAAGCGTATCTATGAGTTGATCTGTAAAATGATGCTAGTTGTTGAGTTGGAAGGAGAAGCAAACCTTAAGTAAGTGTTGGATACGAGGGAAGCATTACAAATGATGTAAAGCTTAAGAACAAAGTTCGGTAAAAGCTTTGTGAAATAAGCCTGAATGTATGAAAAGAAAGCTTTAAGATATCAAACATTAGATACCAGACAACCAACAGACCCGTATAATATAGTTAATATACTAACTATATACGGCAAATGCGGAGAATCACGTAGACTATTTGATAGGCACAGCAAATCGCTAAGAGACCAATTGAATCATCATCATCTGACAATCGACGTCGACAACTTACTAAATAATATTTCCTGATAATCCATACAACAGAAGTAATGACCCGCAATAGAACCAGCAGTAAATGGTTTTTTTAAAATTAAAAAGCACCAAAGTAGCTACAACAACTGATCCAATGATAATACCAATTACACTCTTTAATCCATAAAGCTTAATCATAGAATCATTTCATCAACCAGTTTTAGATCTTTTAACTCACCGATGCATTTAAAAGCTCATTTTGGGTTTCAGATGATTGAAAAATCAAAGATTGCATTAGGTTCTCATCTGTTTTCATGGAATAAACCTTGAATTTTCAAATAAAATCCAGATTTCATTTGAAAACTTACGAAAATCCAAATAGAAAGGGTCAAAAGCATATTGACGAAGACGGAAAACAATAGCGCATGGTACTGGAAAGATGGAGTCAAAAATTTTCATTCAAATATCCTACTTGTTTCAATGAAGCCAAGCTCAATGTCATGGCTTCGGTCATAACTATACTGCTGTTTCTTTTTCCAAATCTTTTTTTTTTGCACACCCGTACTACGTGGAAATTAGCATACTCGAAGATGACGCCGATTATTGAAATCCCACGTGTGCCCGCATGCTGTCTGCACGTGGAGATGATAATGAAGTGGGTGGACGGGATTTTGAGTAAATTAATTTCGTATAACAACCGCTCATCATGCAACTTCCGCATTAAATGAACTTCACGTGTATCAGATGATGTTGAACTACTCATCGAATGTTTAGAACAATATTCATTTTTCAAATAAAAACATCTTTTACAATAAAAACATTAACAAAGGCACCGGTGAACAATAATGAGAGAAGAAGAAATAATATTCAAGCTCAAATATCTCCTAAAGCTTCCAATAGACGTGGATATGTATGTATATGTAAGGTTCTTTCCTAATTTTCCGAAATAACAGGTGATAGCATATCGTTCTTCGTTATTTCATCACTAAAAGTCACCGTTATTTCTGGCGTTGGCTTGGTTGACACGGAGAACGAACTGAAACAAAAAAAGATTTTCTCAAATAATAATATGGACGAACATACGATTGTTTTTTTCTTTTCTTCTCATTCGGCAAGCGAGGCAAATTGAAGTTCTCAATGTCTTTGTATTTGCTCGTCCGTTCACTGTATTCAGACGAACAGCGATCTGTCCTCTTCTGCATATACAGCGGCTTGAGTAGAACATCAGAATTTCGACTAAAATACATTTTTATATTAAACAAAAAAAGTGAAAATGTGATTAACCTAATATTGCTTTTTCGACTACCATTTCTGCTAATATCATTACATCCAGAAGTGACTCTCATAGAAGCTGTTCGTGACATTGCTTGATATTGATTGTAATCAGACATAGTTGCACAACAGCCATTTCTATAAAAAGACACTTTTCTTTTTTTTAATGTTTTCTGAACTTTTCCTCTACTCTGCTTAGCCATCAAAGAGAGAGAAAGAGTTTTCCTTTTATCTATTCTCTCCCTTCTGTTCTTCTACAAAATTTTTAGGATGTTTTTGATTCTTGTTAGTACATGTGCTGACGTCAGAGGAGGAAAAAGTTTTTTTTTAGATTTTTCAAAGCTCATCAATTGTGTAAAAAATTTTTTTTTGAAATGAAGAGAAAAAAAAGAATAATAAGCTTACTTGAGGATGAATGTCAAAGTTTGACGATATTTCTCAGAAAATGAGAAATAAACGATGAATGTGGTGGCCGAATTTAGCATGACCAACATATTTGCCAAATCATTAAATGTATAAGCCAATCCAGCTGTTGACTGAAAGAAAGAAGAAAATTGTAAAAAAAAATTAAAAATCAAACTTACATCATCTATGAATAAAGTGGGAACGAGTGATTCTGCTATATTCAAAAGGAATGGCAGAGTGTTGCAAATTGCAAAAACACAAGTTACGATCAGTAACATCAGTGTGGTCGATTGCTCACGCTGTTGCTGAAAATGAATTATATGTTTTCTCGCTTAATATGCTAATGAAATTAAAAACCATAAAATTTATTGGAAAAAAAAGAAAGAAAGAAAGCTTGCTAACTTGTCTCGTCAACATCATTCGCGTTCGACGTCCCTTCCACATCGTCACTATGACATGACCATTCAGAACCGCCAATATAGTGAACGGTAAGGCGAAGTGTGTTAGAATATAGAGGATTGTGTAATATCCAACATAATACCATCTGTAATTAGCATATTTACAGATAGAATGATATTATTTGAATTTTCATGTGTTCCCGCTTTCACAGACGCCCTCTCAAAAAATTCATTTTCAATTTTCATTTCATTGCAGCACGGTTGTTCTCTCAGAATGCAATTTTTTTCTTCCAAAACGATATCTCATAGGCACTGAGAAAAATAGAAACAACTTATCATTTCATGTTGGAAGTTTTTGATAAATTTCAATATTTACTTGTGTTTATCCGGATCTCTGAGCCATTTTTCATAATACGCGGCACCGTTGTCATCCGGATCGCTTCTGAAAAGAAAGAGAAGAAAAATGCTTCTTAAACAGCAAGATACGAAAGAAATTTGAGATACTTTCGCGAAAATACATATGTTGCAGGATGGCAATGAAACTTACAATAGGCGATATTCAAAGAATCTGATAAAGTTATAAGCTGATGCATAAAGGAAAATGGCAACTATGGCTACTCGTGACTTCTTCGGACTAAACCATACTCGAACCTGTAAAATGATGATATGATGAGTTATGAGGTATGACGATGAGCATACCAGCAAGGGCCTACAAACTGCCGTCCACCTTTCAAAGGTGATCATTAAGACGGTATAAACACTACATGTCTGCATTATTAAGCTAACAGGATAGATGAACTTCAGAACATATGCTAGAAACGTCGTTGCTGTTCGTTCATCCCTTAAAAAATAAAAACAAATCAAACTTTTTGCTTTGCTTTCCAAAAAAACATACATCATTCCCAAGTTTGGTATAACGAATGTTGGAATGGATAATAAAAGAAGAAAAAAATCCAAAAACGATAAAGCACATAGAAGGACGTTGACCTGAAACGCACACAATTTTTCTTCTTTTCTTTCTTTTTCAATTTAAATTCCTTACAGATGATGTCCTCATGTGAGGTCGACTGAATAAAAGGAACGATAAAGCATTGCCGAAGCAGCCAATTAAAACAAGAAAAAGAGAAGCTACTGCCATTGACCGTTGAGTACTAAGCCAGACTTCTTCTTCCATGCTTGACGCTAAAGTTGCTTCATTCTGCTGTTCAATAGAATTCGTCGTGTGTGTCGCAGCAGTTGTCATATGTGAAACAGAAGGAGTTAAAAGTTCATCAAAGACCGTACTAGTCATACTGATAAGACTAGTTGTGGTCGTTAACTCCATGAATTCTGAACATTTAAAGGTTTTTAAAACAGAATTGAGAAAAATAAAAATGAAGAAGAATTCAATAGGGAGCTATAGCCAAGGGAAAAGCCAGAGAAGGAACTTTGAAGAAATGAGTGAACAAGAGAATACACACAAAAAAAAAGATTAAGCAGGTCGTCATCACAGCATGTGTTCTTCTATGATTTATGAATTCAATTCCCACATAAGACAGAGAGAGAGAAAGATAGTTGTGAAAGAAATGATAAAAAATTATTTTGAAAATTGCTAGAAAATGACTTGCAGTTGGTTCAATCAAATCAGACCGCAATCGTCAGTCGGATTTTCTTTTTATGAACTAAAACCAACTGGAATATTTATTAATTCTCTTGCAAGAATTATAAAGGTTAGAGCTTTATCAGCCAAAAAAAAGACGGCTTTGTAGACCAGATTATCCGAATGTGATTGCCCTCAGGCACTTCATCGGACATCATGTTATGAGTTTGTCTCTAAGTCACTCGTTTCATTTCTTCTTCCTCACGAACCCTTCTTTCTTTTCATTTTATCTTCAAAGCCCATCATTGTAGATTTTCGAAGAGAGAGAGGAAATGGAAAAGTGCACAAAAGGAAAAGCTTAAATAATTATTACGTGAATGATCAACGAAATTATTTGAATATAGAACCATTTAAGGAAATAATTCGAAGTCAGGGAAAAAAGGAGGATGTTTTCATTCAAATTTGGAATAAGCTCAGATAGTTCATCATCTCTCTGCTCTCTCTCTAACTCTCTTATAGACTAACCAAAAATGATAATTGTAAAGAACAAAGTTTCAATAACTTCTCCTCTCTCTCTACTCATCTTGTTGATCAAACAACAATCGAGATCTATTGTTTTATCAATATTTTTCTTCACTAGATGTTTCATCATCAAGCCGTATATGGAAGCAGCTGTTATTTAGCTTTGGAGTGCCATAGCTGAGAGAAACAACGAAAAAAAAAAGACTGCAATTCACTACTACTACTAGTATGTTTCAATCAAAACATAATTAGGAATAATCTTGTCATTTTTTGTTTATTTATAATGACTGGGGTACATTTGGCTCTCAGTCTCTCACTGTCTATCCTCTCAGCTCACTCTCTTTAATTTCCATAATTGTCTTCAATCACTAAGTGCATATGATTCTTTTGGAGAAAAAAAAAATGAAAGAGAAGAACGGCTTGAAATTCAGCAAGAGATAGAGAAGTTAGTTTTTTTGGCAGAAAAAATGTATAGTTCAAGTAGGGAGATGAATAGTAAATATGGAAATTTGTGATTTTCTTGCTTAACAAGCCTCAACACAAGCATTTGGATAATAGAAAAACGAGGCAAAGAAAGATGCTGTTTGCTATGACATAGTGATCAGATTTATAAAAATGCAATACGAATAGTTTGTAGAAAAAAACATTTAATCCATAAATATTTGAATACATATAGTCAAGCGGGGGATGTCTATCTCTCTAGGCGTAGTTCTCTCTTCTTGTCTCCCTATCTACCTCCCTCCTTCTACTCCTACCTCTCTCAACTATTTCATACGAGTTGTACTATGTATTTGCTTTTTTTAATAAATAAGAACGAACAAATCATTTAATTGAGAAATTATATTTCATTGGAAATTTGCTTAAATTCATATTTTAGCGCCAAAAATTAAATTTGAATATGGTTTATGCTTCATTTGCATATTCTAATTTAAGAATAATGTTATTGAAGATAATCATTTGAATGAACTGATATGTCGCGAGCGGTTGCATTTTGAGAAAAGAAATTATTTTTATTTTCTTCTCCTCTTATTTTTTTTCTGTATTTCATGAAAAGAGCATGACGATGATGATGAGGATGAAGCTTAAGATGATGCAGATGAATGAAGAAAAAATCAAAACCATTCTGTGATTTGTACACGGACGGAACAGAGCATTCGAAACAGGAAAAAGTTTCAAACAAGTATTGTTTGTAACACATGAGTGATGACAAGAGATTATAATAATGAGAGATGGTCAGATTGTACGGGTTACAACGATAATTTACTTTCAAATTTTTCAGAATATTTTATGAGACACGTGAAAAGCATGACAACGACTGTTCCGTTTTCCTGTTAAAAGATGCTAATTGAAGAAGCTTCCAAATAATGAATAAAACTCCACCCCTCTCATTCATGAAAAGAGCTGTCTCTCTGTGTGAGCTTCTAAATGACGTCGAGTGCGCCTTTACCGATAGTTGATTGACACAACTAGACCATAGACAGCTTTAAGGGCAATTAGTAGCTGAATGACGGGAAAGCACAGGGATTACGGATCAAGGGAAGCATATTATGACATATAGTTAAGGTAAGTAAGGTATATATGGCAGAATAAAGCTAAATCTGAACCATGAGATGGTTGTAGTCATCATGTAAAGGACGTTCATTTGATGGAGGAGAAGTACAGAGAGAGAGAAAGAGATGGAGAGATGAAGCGAGGGAGTGATTTGAAGAGGTATATGGAACGAAAGATGGAGAGAGAGAGATAACAGAAGCGAAAAAGAGAAACAAAAAACAGAAAACACAGGGAAGAGTAAGCAAGGTGATGAGCAGTATTTTCCATAAAAATGTGTTTTTTGAAATGAAACTTTGATTGTTATTTGATTAGAACACTGGTGTAGAGCATGCGACTCAATCATAAGATGGAAATGTCTATATTTGGGATATATACATACATATGCGACTTCGGAGCACTTTCTGCAACATCATTTCAAAAATGTCTCAAGCGATTTTTTGCTCTCTCTTCTCTTTACATTCTCAAAATATACAAATATCATCGGAACAATTTAAATTTCCAACAGCAGCTTGGACAGTCAATCACGCTATATTTCCTAAATAAGGAAATAAAAGTTTTCCCAATTGACTCATGAACGAATTGTATTTGAAGAAGCTGATGGAGAAATAAACGTTTTGCTTCTCATTCATTACTTGCTTGCAATGTAAGTACGTACATAGTCAAAAGAAAACAATAATGGTTATGAGGAGAGAACTAAGCTCTGCGTCGTATTCAGTTTGAACATCAGTGATATGTCAATTAGCTTGCTATTGAATCATAGAGGATTGAGCTTTCGTACAACTTTTCACAACGCCAACGACGTTGCAGAGTCACAGCATGAGACGATGAAGAAGTTGAACGAAGATAAAGTCACAGAAAAGCCAATCGCCTTATTCTATCCTCTTTTTCTTCTTCTTTCAACTAATATCGAACTAAGCACAACTGAATACATTTAAGTCAAAAATTCACAGGAAAAAAAGGAAGGAGAGTTTTAGCAGAGACAAGAAGAGACAAGAACAGAGGGAGCATTTTCACTAAAGTTCTCTCCCTCTCTCCAGATCTCTCTCTCTCTCTCTAGCTCTCTCTCTCGGACACGAAATTGTTTGAAAGAAATAAAACAAAAACTTTGTTTCTTTTCATTTTTGTAAAAAGAAAACAAGTAATATGTTAATTGTATATATAAAATTACTTAAGTATGTAACAACGTCGCCAAGTCGTTTTAATTGTCCTAAGAAGGGGAGGGGAGGGATGAAGCTAAATTGACGAATATATTAACCATATTTCGTCGACAACCACAATGACAACCATGATAGACGGACAGAAAAAAAAATTGGAGAAGTGAGAGATTTCACATTTCGGAAAGTTCCTCTCGCCAATTGTCGAAAACATCTTCAAATTTGCAATTTGCTGTCATTTGAATGGAAAAAAAATTTTTTTGGAAGAAAATTAAAGCAAATGAGACCAATAAGGAAAAAAAAATCATTTTTCCGTCTCCTTTTCACTTCACACGTTCACGAATTTTCTCATTACAAGTGTTGAAAGTTGAAAGTTATAAAATAAATAATTTGTGATTTGACAGGTTTTTGAAGTGAAATCGAAAAATTTTCATGTGAAATTAGGGATAATTAGGCTCCATTCGATCAAGTGACAATCATATTTTTATTATTTTATACTTTGGTTCAAGAAAAAGTAAAGTAGAGAGGTAGAGAGAAAGAGAGAGAGAGAGTTATTCTCTCTCTAACTCTTACCTTTGGGCGCATACGCCATCCTCCCTCTGTAGTTGTAAATGTGTGAGCGTTGAAGTCTCTTACACCCTTACTCTTTCTGACAAAACTGGAGAACACAAGGAAGGTAAATAATAATTTTTTTGGACAATTCCAAAAAAGAAAAAAAAACGAATAAAAAGGGGGACAAGACACAAGAAAACTAACAAGACTGAGCTTTGGCTAGGAGGAAAGAGAAACGAAATGACATCATTCACTCTGCCGGATCTCTTTTTTCCTCATCTGATTCTGATATTTCCATTTTTGACATTGACATACACACAAAAAAAGAAGAAGTTCGTCTTTTGCTTTACACAATTGACTCTAATAGAAGATATTGTGGATGACATTGCTGAATTCTCCTTTAGCAAGAAGAGAGGAGAAAAAAAAAAGGAGAAAGGCTTCATGATGTATCAAATTGCATTGGATATGTAAGAGTACAGTCCAAAAATTTGTGAGGACGAATGGATGCTGGGATCAGATGAGTCATCCGGCCATCATCATAGCCTTAAATGGAGAAGAATTTAGTCATTTCATTAAAGCTTTTTCAATTTCATTCGGCAGATCTCCATGAAGCTAAGGAATAGGCACAGAAGAATATAGAGATGAAAATTTTTTTTTGTCTTCTTCTTCTGTTCAAACAGAACGTAGGCAAGCCAAGTGAATTGAGAGAGAGAGTGAGAGAGAGAGCTAAGACATGTGAGAAAAAAAAATTGTTTCTCAATTTCTCCTAATTATTTATGAAATTGAGCTGATTCAATGGAAACATATCAGAATGTACGTGCAAGGGAAAAAGGACAACGAGATTCTATATGTTCTTTGGAATTATTGAAAGACAAGAAAAATCGATAACTGAAATCACTTTTCATTGCATTATCTGAGAAGAGACGTTGTTGACTTGTTTGTTTGTTTGTTTTCTACTTCGCCTCCTTCAAAAACCTTTCAGTAGTCTCTCATTGTTTTTTTCGAACTTTTCAATTCTTTCTGTCGTTGTGATAAAAATTAATTTTTTTTCTTTTTTTTCTCACTTAATGCTTCACCAACTGACTTCTACTTTCTTTCTTTTCAGTTTCTGTTTGATAACAAATCGATTGACCATCACCATCAACTACACAGAGGCACACAATCTCAGACAGAGAGAGATAGATAGATAGCTAGAGAGAGACAGATCATGCTCGGCTATTCGTTAACGATTGCAGCTATATCCATTGTCCTATGGTTAATATCTCTTCCTCATCTTAATTATATGAAAATGTTTCGAATCAAATAGTTCAATCAAAGGACATACGTGAACGCGAAGCTCACGTGACTTCTTCACGTGGTATTCTAAATAAAAAAAATTTTATTTTTCATTTTTCAGTTTTATCCTTTCAAACTCGGTCATGAACGAATTGCTCGTGATTTGGTAATATCAATTAATTCTTTCAATAATGAATAAATAATTGAATTACAATGCAGGTGTATTCTAGCCTCTCTAACACTACTACTAATGTGGTCGAGATATTCCGAGCTTTTATATATTTTTTTGTTCGTCCCCTTCATGCTCATTATTGGATTTGCAATAGCTCGCAATGAACAAGCACCACTAGAGACAGTCAGTTTACCTTCTTCCTTCTTCCCGCCTTCTCATTTTTTAATTTTTTTTTAAGAAATTAAAATTTTTCGATGGATTCGTCATGGGTGGGCATAGAGGATCACCTGAATCTGCACCAGAAAATTCACTTGCAGCACTGAAAGCGGTAATAGTTCATCTTGTGATCTACCTCATGATCTGATGACATTCAGGCTCAATACGAAGGATGTCAATTGGTAGAGTTTGATGTTCAATTGACTAGCGATGGAATTCCTATTATACTGCACGATGATAATACTTATAGAACAACTGGAATTAAGAGAGAAGTTCTTCTGCTTATCCTCATTCTCATAATTCAAAATATCTATTTGAGGTATCCTCTTCTGTGTTGTCCGAGATAGCTGGATTACCTTTACTAACAGTCAAGTATGGCTTTCTATTCTCATTCTCATATTTCTTTAACATCTATTCTTAAGTGGAATTAACGACACAATCCCCACTCTGGATGATGTCATAACCTTCTGTATGAGAAATAATTTGAAAATGATCTTCGATATCAAAGGAATGAATGATTTGGTTTGTTTTGCCTTTAGCTTGTTCTTTAACTTTCTTTTCTTGTTTTCTCTTGAAGCTGGTGAGGGAACTTGCTCGAATTATCCAAGATAAAAATCTCTATACTTCTGCCATAATAAGCAGTTTTAGTCCTGCTGTTCCGTATTTTGTGAAGAAAGCTGATCCAAATATTTTGACAGGTAAAATAAGCATTATTCTTCTACAATTACAATTATCCAAATATTAAAGGTTTTACAAATCGACGAGCACTTTATGGCTTCTTAACTGAAGATGGCTCTGTTGATAGAGGGGTATGGTGGAATCAGTGGTTTCTAGAACTCATGGATGATTTTCTGTTATTAGGTATCTATTTTTATTTTTTTAAATCTTTTTTCATCAATTAATTATAATTATAATATTTTTATTTTTTATTTTATTCTCTCACACACTCTCTCTCTCTCCCTCTCCTCTCTCTCTATCTGAATGTGCTTTTGCAGTTCTTCGATCATTCCTTCTTCCTGATTTCCTAGGTGTCGATATGCTTCTCCTTAATCATCGTGATATCAGCCAGTTAGTTATATTTGAAACGGAAAGAAAATAATTTTCTTCTTCCAACATTACAGTAGCATCGTAACAGAATCTGCAAAACGTGGAATGCAAGTAGTTGCATGGACAGTCAACGATAAATATGAAATGAATTACATGTCAAAGGTGTTGAAGATTCCATTTCTAACAGACATCCCTAAGCTATTTGAAGGTTAAATAAATATGTTGTTATATAATATATTATAAATAACTTATTATTATAATAATAAAAGTTTTTATTTTAATTTCTTTCATAAGATAATACCCGTGTCAACCATCAAACTAACAAAAATATAAAAAATGAGAAAATCTATGAAATTTTTGAATTTTAAAAATATAATTTTCTTTTTTTTAATAAAAAAATTATGAAAGAAGACTTTCTCCTTCTCTTGAACGAAAGACTAAGGCAGCATTCACTAGTATTTCACATAATTTGTATAATAATAAGATGAAATTGAGCAAATTTTGGAAACTTTGGGATGGACAGAGAGATAGAGAGAGAGAGAGGAAGGGATGTGAGATGAAGCATTGTATACCGGCTTCCATGCTATAGATGTATATTATGAGAGAAAGAAGTATATTAAAAATACAAATGAAAAAGCTACTGAGGATGGGAGTGTGGATGAGTTACAACGATCTCCGTAGCAACTGCAAAGCTGAACTTCACCAATGGCAGGTGGATCGGATGGTTTTGCCGGATTAAATAAATGGCCACGAGATAGTGTGCGACATTGATTCTGAAAGAATAGAATGAACAAACACATCATATCAAATAAGCATCTTACGTTTTGATGGAAACGATGTGTTCGAAGAGCTGTCTGATTGAATCCGTTTCGTAACACACGATCCAAACAACCTCTTATGTGCTTATAGCCAATGAAAACACCTGCAACATCATGTTCTTCATGCACAAGATAATTATTTTTAATTTTCATTTAGTTCTGTTTTTATTTATCAAAAAAAAAATGTTTTTGCTAATTAGCATAAAGTATCTTATGCTAATTAGACGGGCCACGTCATGATCCAAACAATATGTTTTTTCATTTTTATTTTGTATGAAATGAAGTGAGCGGTTGTGTTGTCTTTCTCATTTATGAAATTACCTGCTTCTATATCTGGTTCTAACATGGATATACAAACGGAGCTACAAGAGACAGTCGGCATTCCTCGTTCATTTGCCGGATCTTTGCATCGATCAGTGAAAACCTTTGAGATGAGATGTAAGAGAAAGCTTGAATATGCAAATACCTTAGGAAATACATAAGTTGTTTGGAGATATTTCCAACTTGTTTGATATGATAACGACATACATGAGTAACATTCCGTTTGTCTCGGTATTGAACCTGCAATGTTTCATAATGAGTTCTCTTCTAGCATCAACATGAAAGGATTTTGATAACATTCTCTCACGAAATGAGACACCTGCTCATTTTGTTTCAACTTCGAACATAAATTCAAATTAATTAGTCATTATACTCAATTTAATTGTAATTTTCCAAAATTTTCATATCACTTTCTTCCCACAGTCATCACATTAAGCTTTGATTTATTTGTTTAAAAAGCGCAAAGAAGCTTGCTTAGTTAAGCCTTCTCTATACTCATAGACGTTTGATTGAATATATGTATATCAGTTATGTTATTATTATATGTTTTTTTTTAACTATACAAACCCATATCATAACAGAGGGTCAAATGATATAAACCAAGAAGTAAAGCTAGATAAAGCATAGTGTGTATTCAGATATCATATCACATGGATTTTAACTCTAAAATAACAATAAATTGAGATGTAGGTATTACAAAATAGAGAGAGAGAGAGACATAGAGTGAGAGAAAGACATAGAGAGAGAGAAGGAGGTTTTCAAGATCTCTCAAGAATTCTTTCTTAAAACAATGAAATATTCTGAAATGTCTTGAGGTGAGACTGTTATGATGAAAAATAAGCAAAAATCAGGAAATAATTATGAAAAAAAAACGGAAATGAGAAGCATAAACTTGAAGGAGAAAAAAAAAGAAGGAAAAAGAGACTGAGAAATAGAGTAAACGATGAGATGAATTGGAACACTGGCATCGGAAAAGGAATGCTTCCACTGCTTTTCCTAGTTATAAAGTGGGGCCATAAATCAGATGGCCAGTTCAAAATGTGCTAAGCTCAAGAATTAGAAGAAAATATTCTCAAACAAACTTTTTTTTGTTGGTTATAACGATAGAAATTGAAGTGGTGAGTTTGATTCGGGATGCGAACTTTACCATTCTTCACTGATATTCGTAGGGAGATGGATGATGAGGAAAAAAATATTTTGAAAGGTTTGATAGTGCCTGAGGGCAGAAAGGTGGAATGGAACTGACGAAAAAGTGATAGAAGACAGAAAATTGATGAAATGATGGATGGATAATTACGAAATTTGTGATCAGATAATGTTTGAGAATTCGATTCATTTTCAGATCTGAACATCTGAATTGAGTTGGATTGAGCTGAAGACGAGTAGATGCTGAAGAACACATCGTATTTATGATTCTGGTCTGAAAAGAACAAAGAGAAGGCTAGTCATGAGCAGCTTATGCAGAACTTCATCGGATAGCCATTCATATTTCAATTGAATATCATTGAGGAAGAGCTGAACAAGAAGAAGAAGAAGAAGTAGAAGATGCTACACGACAACGGACGATGTGTCTCAGCGATTATCGCATGTTAGCCATTGCTCCTGAGGGAATTGACGACAAACGATGCCATCTAGTTGGTCAATCGTTTCGTAAGTCAATGATACTTTTTCGTCATTTCTCCTGCCTTCCCTAACAAAAGGCTTAACTGAAATCTTCCGAAATCCTATTCATTTCAACTTTCGCAACTAAATTATCTCAAAAATAATGTGCGCGTTCATTATAAATTCTGAAGGATAATAGATTTAAGCAAAAGGGCTTTCAATACTAACGAAGGAAATAAACGATAGCAATGAGGTTACATGCCATAGAATACTTAGGCATATCTTCAATATACCCACATCATATTCACATACTATGATGCAGGATAGAGACAGAGCATCATCATCTGGAAAATTTTGTGAAACTTAAACAACACCGAAAGCCAGTTATGGTCGTCCAAAACAACATTCATAACGACAAAACACAGCAAGAGGGTGAGAAGATGTACTCTATTTACAATTGGTAGGTAATTGAAAAAGGTGAAGAACAATATGAGAAATGGAACGTCTTCGTTCTCAGGGAGGTCAACGTCATCTGTCGTCGGTGGTTATAGACTGCTCATAACTGATTGATGAGCTTAACGATTAACATAAGGTGGCAAAAAGTTGGAAGAGCCGATAGATAGAGGCAGATGAGAAAAGCAGACGTAAAGCAAATGAACAACATAATAAAATGAGAAGGTTATTGATTCTTTAATGAGTATAGTATCACAAAAACGTTTTTCAATTGTTACCGTAAGATATCAATGTAGGAGGAGGAGGGCGGAGATCAAATCTTGCCGTAACTCATTGGCTTTTCGCTTGTATCTCAAAGATTTTCTCTCAAATTCAATTGATAAATGTCATGTTATTAGTTGAATTCTTTTCATTCGTTCCGGTCAGCAGCAATAAGAAATTGCGAAAAAAGAGGATGAAGAAGATGGAAAAGCTTAAATGTAATTGGTTGTAACAAGGTGGCGGTTTACTAAAAGACTAGTGATACATCACTTTTGACAGTCGAATACAAGGATTCTTCAAGACAGCAAAGATGTATTATGCTGTCATCTTGTATTCTATTGCTTTCAATAGCCGATTAGTTGATTTAGATGAGTTCGTAAACAGGTGCTAACAACTTCTCAACATCCAATTGAATTTTAGCATCGTTTCTGCTCACTGCATCATGTTTGAAGCATTATGAATGCTACAAACAAACATTAGCACATAATTACCTGTGCTTACTCATGAAGCACAGAATATGAATCTTTTGCAGAATGTGTACTCAGCTTCATCTTGGCTGAGTAAGGGATGAGGCGTGTTTGATGCTTGCAATGAAACGAATTCACAGAATCATCAGGATGAGCTGCTGGATGAAGCATATATGTATATACATATAAATTATAAAGGAAGTATAAGGAAAGCAGTAACTTCAACGATTCAATATACTAACTTCCTTGCATCGAAATTCCATCGGGTAGGTCTAGGAAATGAGAAACAAGCAGGGCGATTAGATTGCCTGAAGGCTATTGCATCATGTCAACTGAGAATACAACAAGAAGAAGCTTGAAAAGGAAATAAAGAACAATTACATAGAAATAGTTAAATAGAACTACGAAATGATTACTTACGAGATTAAGTAATAGTTTTGAGAAGACGAAGGAAGAATTTCAGAGACGAATTCAACCGTTCTCAATGTGTCGCGAAAATAAAAATGAAACAACACGTGTGTCTGCTAGCTAATTAGCATAATGGCGTATTTCCTTTAAGTTCGAATAAATGCTTTATTCTCATTAATTTTTGTTTGAAAAAAAAAGCAAAAAAATAGAAAAAAGGAGTATTTTTTTGTTGTATTATTGTTGAATATAAGAGGAAACGTATTGAGGAACATGTAAAACATGAACATTTCGGAAAACTGGAGAGAAAAAACTACCGGAAATATAGTCTGTGAATTGAAGGGAGTTGAGCTTTACCAAACATGAAATGAAAAAAAAGGAGGAGGAGGAGGAGGGAAAGCTGAAAGAAAGGAGTTGCTGTTTGAAAAGTATTCAAAGATTCTTATGAGAGCTATTTGAATGAAAAAATGAACGAGAGTTTTGGATGAAAGTGACTGTTGCTACAATGAAATCGTCAATGTCATAGTTAACGCCATATACGTTGATGAAGAGTTGGGTGGACAACAGGTAGATACGAGGAAGCAAAAATATGAAAATAAAAGGAGAAAATATTGAAGATGAAATGATGTTATTTGAGTGTAGATTGCAGTACAAGAATTTTGGAGGAAAAGATGAAGAGAGGGTTTGTTTGAAATCGGAGAAGCGGATATAGCTCATAATTGGTTGGTCTTTTTAAAGCTTCTAACTGAAGCAGAGGTATTGGAAGAAAGAGAAATAGAGAATGAAGGTAAGCTTTTGAATATGATGAAGAGATTCTAGTGTGTCATGTACATTGAAGGAGAGAGAATAGAGACATTGAAGGAAAGAAAGAAAGAATATGCAAAGTACAAGAGATGAAAGTAAGATGTCAGTACATAAATAATATATATTTTTGCTGTTCAGTTTAGAAAAGATTTTATTTTTGAATAGAATGGAAACAAAAAGATTCGTGTCGGCTAGTCTAAAGAGAGCGCTATAACCAGGTGTTAAAGTAATTAAAAGAGCGAAGTTCCAACACGAAAAAAAAAATGCTTCCATCTCGTCCTTCTCATCTCACCCTCCCTCCAAGAGTATTGTGTGAGTTTCACAACGGTTCACGTTGTAATATATTTTTGGGGCTTTTAGCAAAAATCAAGATAACACATATAAATTTGCCATAAAAGGAAATGCTGCCGGACTCAAATAACCTTCCATGCACTCACGATTATAAATTTCTTCCAAAAAAGATTGTCCGCAAACGCACTTTGGCTCTCCTTGACTCTTACTTTTCTCTTTTTTTTTCATCGTCTTTACTCATTATGTAAATGTCTCTAGCTCTCTTGAAAGATCAAATATATCAGGTTACTATACCTACTTATTCCTCAAAAATATTTCGAACAAATAATAATTTCGAAAGCAATTTTCACTAGGCTCCTATTGAGCTTTTGAGATGGAGAGTCAGCGGGAGGTTGCAAATAAAATTCTTCTTTTTCGACTTTTTCACAGTTTTAAGAAAATGTCAGTCTTCAGCCTTTTTTGGCGTTCAAATGCTGAAGACTTTAGAAGAATGAGCAAAAAGCTTGAAAGAAAGTATGATTATTTGAAGTAACTTTCTTCTGAAGGGGGGGGGGGGGGGAGGGGGGGGGGAAAGAAGGCAATTTTTTTT